ACAATAACAATATAAAACATTAATGTAGGTACATCGATTAAAGAGTAACAGAGATGACGACAAATTTTTGTTTGTTTGTCCGTCAGGTAGATTTTTGGAAAATATTAAACACGTATTTTTTTATTTCTTTCGTAATCATAAAATTACGACGAAACATTGAGTTAAAATGTGGCTTTGGTACATTTTGTAGAAAATTGTGACGTAGCTAGCCTCCACTCCTCAACTTTAAAACTTGTTATCTAACCTATTTCTTGACAAAATTGAAGTAAAAAAAGTATCTAATATTTTTCTATTATCTGACTGACGGACTAAGTAGAATTTCTTTTTTTAACCGTCGTCATCCCTATTTTCCCAATGATAAAAGTAACTACTTAGGTACTGCCCGTCTGAAAATATTGTACTTTCGAATACCGCGGTAAAATTTTTCAGAAACCATTGAATTCGTGCTGAGGTTTTCTGTAGTTTATTAAATATTCCGCCAGCGGCTTCGCCCGCGCGGTCTTATATAATACATAAAAACCTTCCTTTTGAATCAAAAACCGCATCAAAATCCGTTGCGTAGTTTTAAAGATTTAAGCATCCATAGGGACAGAGAAAGCGACTTTGTTTTATACTATGTAATGATTAACCGCCCGACTTCTACTATTATGACTATTATATTATGTAATATTGTAATGGAAAGTGACTTCATATTTTAATGAAGTCATTTTTCAATCTTGACCTGTATGAAATAAAACAGGGGGAAAAAAACAGCCCTTGCCGAGTTTCTTGCCGGTTCTTCTCGGTACAAGGTCTCCCGCAGTAGATTTACGAACCGATGGCGTAGCTCTCGACTTTCACGAGTGCTTGTAACAGCCTAGACTGAATAAATAATTTTGATTTTGATTGTTTCTTGAAAAATTTGACCGCTTTTAAAATAAGTATTATTTATCACTTTTTTATATAAATAAAAATTTTAGTCCTTTCGTTGTAAAATATATTAACAACGAAAGGGCTAAAATTTTTATTTATTTTCACGACGTAACCATGAAGAAATCGGTGAACATACCTACTTGCATAAAAATAATATCGTATAATATACATTATCGATAGTTCAATAGAAATAGAGAAACCTGAGCACAGCTGAAGTAATACGACAATCGGGTGCAAGCTCAACAAATTGTTGCTCGAAGGATGCAAGACAACCAAAAAGTAAAGTGTATAAGACAACTTTACTGACTATAGAACTTCAAAACCACAGATTCTTTATCTGAATTCAAAACTTATTACAAAAACTACAAGAGTATATTTACATAAACACTTCGATCAACAACATAACGGGATAACGCCTCCCATACTCAAAAGGATTATGAAAAATTTTATCCTAGGAGGTTACTTATCATGCATAATTTACAAATCGATACACGCTAATAAAAGAAAAGTGCTATAGCTATGGCTTTTTGTTTGGGCTTTAGGTGACTGAAAAGCAAATGGTAAATAAAAATATTTAAACATATTTTGCTTAAATCCAACTGTAGTGAGTTGAAGCCTGACGTGTGTCGGTGTAATTCGGCCGACATCGCGTCGCCTGCAGCCAACCGGCAGCCATTGCGGCAACACAACACAAACCAAACCTTGCCAATGCCATGCCACTGGGATTAAATAGTTTAATATGTTACATTTAAACCAGGTTTTTGTTTTAAAATGTCTGTGATTTCCTCATCCTCAATATAAAAATATATGATATCTAACGTCCCCTTTAACTTTACTTTGCCCGCGTGGTATGCATATCCATTAATATTATGACGAGGATATAATTTCAATTCCCCACACAAACTTCCACTCCCATTTTCAACCCTTTACTTGCTGTTTTTCGGGATAAAATATAGCCTATGTTAAAACTCGGTCCAGTAGTTTTGGTGCGTATTCGATGCGAACAAACAAACAATCAAATCTTCTCTCCTCTATATAATATTATTATAAGTATAAATGTAATTAAGGTACCAATAATTGTAGGTTTGTGTATCTACAGTTGGCATTGCCATTACAAATAAATCGAATCAGCTTTATATCTAGAAATAATCTGACCCGGGTCTATAGGTGCAATTTTTTCGATAGCCTCATGTAATAAAAACCAGTTAGTGACTATGTAGGATCCCATTTTACGTAGTAAGCGTCCCGTAGTTCTCCGTTATCCTAACTTCATCAGATTGGAACTGTTGATTGCTTGATCCCTTGGATTTAGATGAGCCACTTACTACACGTCCGCCCAAAATATATAGGATTCGGGTAATACTCGGGACAGCGGTTTTTACCGCATGGGCCTTCATTTCCTAGTTCCTAATGAGAAGTCATAAATCTAAACAAGAGGTCTGAAATTAAAAGCTCTTTTATATTTGTTCCGCTAGCTCTTAAGCTTTGTCTGGCAATTTTGTAGAATATAATTTTCATTTTTAATACCTTAACTATTGTATATAGTACCTACTTGCCTACTTACCATCATAATATGAAAAAGATTACATAAATGAACCCATTTTCATTTAGTAGTGTTTTTAAACTTTGGTCTCTAGATCTTAAAGCACATCGATACTACGGTGGGGTAAGCAGCTGCTGCTGCATCAGTTTGCAGTGTCTGACAATCAATATTATGAAAAATGTTTAAAGAAGGTCCCCGATATAGGGTTGGCAACTCTCACAAAATTCCGGAATTCTCCTGGAAAAAAAGTATTTTTAAAACTCCCGCCTCCATACACGCACCTAGAATCTTCTAGGCTGGCGATTGGCGTTTGACTTATTTTAATAAGTGGTACGAATTTGAGGACTCTATTTACAAAGAAAATTAATATTTAGAAAATAGACAAAAAAAGAATTGACAAACAAATAAAAAAATGGTTACATTCATTGTAGTCGAACGATGCCGCTGAAGGTGTTTTACTGTAGTAAATGAACTGTGGACAGATAGTCGCCATCACCTGAAAAAAACACAAGCGTGCTATAAGAGTTGGTTTTATTAATATTTGATTTTGTTTTTGTTTGCAATGAAAAGACAGCTCGCAGTGTAAAAAAAATACAATTTTAAATAAAATAGTTTCTGACTTGCAATACTATTTTTACCTAATGGATTTCTGACAAAGTGAGTTGGCAAGCCTACCCGTGTCCCATTGCAACATGCGCCAGCAGTGTACGGTAAGCGCGACGAAAAGTAGAGCGAGCACGAGCGTACTAAGGTGAGTTTTACTTTTGATGATTGAACAGAAGACCAAACTCTGAGCCCCATATTCAGAAAAAGTATTGTAATAGTTCCGCTCTAATCTAATTACGTAGGGGTGTACTTAGAGTGAATTTTTGGATATTCGACCCCGAAGACAAAAAGTTTTAAGAATATTCTTTATTTTATGATAAGACCTTATCATAACCAACTCATGCTTCAAAATACACATACGATGCCTATCTATATACCTGGATTCCCCCTAGAGATCGTTATAAAAACCAAAAATATTACATCGTTATTCACATTCCTGGAGATCTTTTGTAATAGATGCCACTACGTACCCCGGTGCTGACTGTGACACTGATCACCAACTTTTGGTTACCACCATTCGCCTTCGCTGTACAACAGTCCAAACACATGAACGCACACAAGTCACGCGACGGATATGCAGGGTTTTAGAAACACCATTGAATCATCATCAGCATCAGCCCTTTTACATCCCCACTGCAGGGACTCAGGCCTTCCTTATGGATGAGCCACAAAAGTGAAATGAAGTCTATCATTTCATCAGAAACAGCCAAGCTTAATATTAAGAAACGTGAACTAAAGAAAATGAAAAAGGTCTTAAAAGCAATCAAGATATAAAATTGTATGCGGATCTCAGACCTGAAGTTCAAAGAATGCGTCACAAAGATTACGATGAGCATATAAATAATGTATGTGCTGATATGCAACGGAGCTCAATCAGAATCGAGACTAGAGTTATTTTCCGTAAAGTAAAAGAGCTGACCAGAACACGCAGTATAAAAACATGCACAATTGCCGATGAGACTGGAGAAGTACTCATCAAAAAAGACACAATATAGGCACCACAGGCACCGAGGAATTGTGGCCTAAAAATTTTTGAAACTTTCGGCTGTGTCGGTCATTTTGTGGTTCCCGGTATTTCACCGCTTGCCTTTAATATTTCTGAAGAATATAGAATTCGCAGGATGTTTGAAAACAATGAGGAGGGGTTCACTATTGGTAGGAAACTCATCAACTACTTGCGATATGCCAACGATACTGTTCTTCTTGTCACGTCCTTTGAACTTATTAAGAACATGTTGGATAGATTGGAGACTGAAAGTGATAGCCTCTACTCTAAAAATAAACAGAAAAAAGACCTAATTAGTGGTGGTTGATCGCGCTGGAAACTTTCAGATTCTGTTACCATTCCGCGTATTGAAAAAGTGAACAATTTCATCTATCTGGGTGTGATGATATAAACTCTTTGGTTTATACCAAAAAGTAGCTTTGACCAAGAAGTAACTATGACTATTGATCGATTGACATGTAAAATTTTGTTGAATAGAGCCTATTAATTTTTCAGTTTATTTAATAATCTATACAGATTTATTCTACTAAAATTTATTCAAAAACATTAAATGGATAAATATCTACCACCAGAAAGATTTGACGGAAATCCGTCTTCTAGTGAAGATCAGTCCCCTCAGTGGACACATTGGAAAAACTAAGAGAATTTTTTGACACCAAAGAAACACCACTATATAAAGAAACGAAATTTCAGCTATTGACAAATCATTTATCTCCTACATTATTTGCATAGCTACAAGATCCAACTGACTATGGCTCAGCCATCAAACAGCTCAACACATTATTTTTGAAGCCATCTAATGAGGTTTACTCCCGATACAAATTAGCCAAACGTTCTCAACAAAGTGGTGAGTCCGTAGATCAATATTTACAAGCCCTGAAACTTCTTTCGAAAGATTGCAATTTAAAACAAGTATCTGCTGAGCAAAAAAAAATGAATTTATTAGAGATGCATTCATATCCTGTCTCTCATCGCACTCAGTCCGCCAGACTTTTGGAAAATAGCACACTGAGTTTGGACGATGCTTTTAAACATACACGTGCTCTAGAGATGGCACGTATACACAATAATGGTTACCAGCAACATAGTACTAGTTTTTCAGTCAACGCAACGTCAAACTTTAATCAAGAACAAGAACTTTGTAATTTTTGTGGAAATAAGAGACACGCACGACGCAACTGCCCTGCTTCCGGCTCAACATGTCTCGAATGCGGAAAAAGAGGACATTTAGCAAAAGTGTGCAAAGGTGGCGCACTATTTCACCAGAAAGCGTTCGCCGCCCAAAATGATACTCATGAAGCTAAGAAAACAGGATGTCCGCAATCACTTTCCTGAATTATCGCTGCTACAACGGACTTAAGCAAAGCTATATCAATCATGATAAATGGATTATTTACCACTAAAGCATTAATTTATTATTATAAACGCTTATCAATGAAACTTCTTATGCTCTGCTTGTCTTCTACTAGTAGAACAATACAAAATAATAACTACACATTGCGCCCAGCACAGCAGCATTTGTATTTCCCAACTTTAGGTACCACATCTTCAATACTCGGCAGCGGATAGGCATCAAGTTGTGTAAACTTGTTCACAGTCGGCGAATAATCCACACACATCCTAAACGAATTTCTTCTCTTAAAGAAATAATTATTTTAGAAATAATTATGCTACCACAAGAAGGCAGATCTGTGGATTTTTTTCGATAAGCCTTCGCAGCAGTGAACGAAATCATTCAGCTATAGAGAAGGAAGCCGCGGCTTTCGTAGAATGTTTTAGGAACCGTAAGGTTGAATGTTGGGTCCCTAACTGTGGTGATGGAGACAACTGGCCAGGGAAATTAAAGGATAATTGTCTCCCTCCGAGCTAGGTATTGTTAGCCCGGGGACCGCGGTCCAACCGATGTAGGTTGGACGTTCTATTTATGTTAATTAGTAATTAAACTTATTCAGTGTGATGTAGGTTTCTTTGTTCTAAATGTCTTGTAGTTATTAATTTATGCTGTTTGTATTGGTACAGCGCCATCTCGTTACTTGCTGTTGAAACTTATTGCAGTTCGTCTTGCTATCGATGGCTGTGACGATGCTAGTCTTCTCGCTATCGATTGTTGTGGCGATGTTACTGCGATGAATTAGATGTCGCTATGTATCAGTCGCCACAATGTCTTAGAAAATGGAGACTTTTTTTTCAAACTAATAACTGATTAGAAGTCCATCTCTTTCATGTTTGATCAAAAACATTAGTCAAAATTAAGAACGATAAAATACAACGCTGGCGCCTAGAACTGTCCGTCTATAATTTTGATATAGTTTATCGCCCTGGAAAAGAGAACGTAGCAGCTGATGCGTTATCACGGGTTAACACTGCGATTGTCGCTTCTGCAAGTCACTCAAAAACTGTACTAAAGGAACTCCATAACACTATGCCACCCGGGAGTTACAAGAATGGTTCACTGGTTCAAGAACAAAAATCTTGCCTACTCTTTAGATGAAATAAGAAATATCACTTTAAACTATTCTTAATACAAAATGCTAAAAAAATCCACTTGGTCCCTGGCACCCTAAAGAACAAAATTCTCACTTTTATCGAGTTTTAATATTAGTAACAATATTTCTTTCGTCTGTTTGGGTCGTTGCCTGAACATTGATAAGAATACGCTCTGTAGTAGCGAAAAGTAACAAAGGTTAGAGCAGTCGCCCGGATTGCAAAAGATCGTGTGTTCGATTCCCATCTCAGGGTGCCAGGGACCAAGAGGATTTTTTAAGCAATTGGTATTAAGAATAATTTTCAGTATGGCATTGTGAATTGAAAATTAATCAAAATATACATATAATCACTTTAAACTGTCCAATATGCGCGGAAGAAAAATTTCGTTTCCAACAAAAAGTTATAATGGCTTCATTTGAAAGATTATCTATCGATTTTAAAGGTCCATCACCAACAGAAGGCTCTAGAACGAATCGATACATACTGACTATTGTTGATGAGTACTCTCGTTTTCCTTTCGCATATCCATGTTCTGATTTAACCACAAACAGTAATTTATAAACTAACTGATCTGTTTTCTTTCTTCGGGATGCCAACTTATATTCACTCGGACTTCTTACATCAGAAGGGTATTGCAACGAGCTATACGACGCCATTCAATCCTCAGGGCAATGGACAGACCGAGAGATATAACGGCATAACATGGAAAACTATGCAGTTGGCTCTAAAAACTCATAATTTGCCATCAACAAAATGGGAAGTGGTCTTAGCCCAGTCGTTACATTCGATTCGTCCTCTTCTATGCACAACCATCAATTGCATTCCGCACGAGAGAACGTTCTCACACCCGAGAAGGTCATCGAATGACCGATCAATGTTTTCTTGGCTAACAGTTGGGAATAAGGCATTGATGCGAAAACTTGATAGAAATAACAAATATGATTCATTAATCGAGGATTGCTCGAAACAAATCCACAACACTCGCGTGTAAGATTAAGCGAAGGAAGAGAGCTTGTGATCTCGTATCGACATTTAGCCCCTGCTGGGACCTGCCCTAACAACTCAGATGGGGAAAATCCTTCATGTAATGATGATAATAACTCTGTCGACGCCATTGACCATAATGAGCAGCGTGATTCCCAAGACAGGACTTTCGAACATCGCGCCTGACAATCTAAGAAGGTCTGAAAGAAATCGACGCTCGCGTGCATATTAAGCTGACTATGTCGTTCAATAAAGAAGCGCAGGAGAATGTGGTGATATAAACTATTTATACCAAAAAGTAGCTTTGACCAAAAAGCAATTTTTACTATTCTATCATCGATTGTCATGTAAAATTTTGTTGAATAAAGCCTATAAATTTTTCGGTTTATTTAATAATCTATAAAGGTTTATTCTATTATACTGGGATAGCTAGGATAGCTATGGCGAATATTTATTAAGAAGGGTGAAACAGTCGAAGGTAAATGTATAAGACCAAATCCCTGTATTGGACTTCAGTGTGGTAACAACTTTAGTGATATTACTGAAAAAAGACGTCTTAGTATTTGGACAGCTACCACCAGTAAAGTTGCTGTAACGAAAAGAACTCAAATATATGAGTATTATATTAACGAAAATTATGATAGACGTAGGGTCTGCCAAAAATTTCTCATTGCGACAATTGATGTAACGCAGGGTTTATGCTACGAGTCTAAACCTTAGATACTATGATCGATGGTTTTGGAAAAATTAGACAGGGAAGTGCTAGAGAAAAGAAGTAGAATAGGACGCAAAAAAATACTTAATTTACCCCTTTTGCCATCACATTACTGCCGGAGAGATTCTAACAAATTATATTTTCCTGAATAATTCAAAACTGTATCCAATTTATATCATATTTACCAAAACCACTGAGTAAGAAAAAATGTCATTTAAAGTATTTTCATGTTGTTTCACGCCGTAACTACTGAACGGAATTTGATAAAATTTGGTATACAGGTATTAGCTGATTTAGATAATAGGATAGGTTTTATCCCACTAAACATTCCCTAGGGACCACGCGGGCGAAGCCGCTGACAAAAGCTAGTGTGTTATAAGTGTTTCAAGCACGTCCTTTGATGTTAAAACTGAAGAAGAGGTAAGAAAGTTTAATCAGCATGAAAATGAAAAATCTTATAAGTCATATTTCATCAAAAGCTTAATAAAATAGACAAACAGTTTGTACAAGTTTCGATCTACGAAAAGTATTAAACACTCCTTACGAAGAGAAATAGCAGTATATAATTTGCCAATATGCGAAAGCATCACACAACTTAAGAGTTTGCAATTTGTGGATTGAAGATGATGCTAAACAAGTAGTTTAGCATTATCTTCGCAGACAAAATTGCCACATATTTGTAGTACATAAAAACGTTGATAAACGTGGTAATGTAAAACAAATTATACTGTACTGTGATTCTACTTTTGAACAGAATAAAAATGTACTGTGATTCTACTTTTGAACAGAATAAAAATAAGTGTCTTAGGAATGTTACGTGATGCATTATTTCTGTTGCCAGAATAATAACATATACTCAAAAAAATATATATTATTCTTGGGACCCATCAAAATTATCTATGAAAATATCTCACTAGACATACACAGTACATACAGTATCATACAATAAGTTCTTACTATATTGTTTGGTGGGCAAAAGAGAGATTAAATTTTGTTTTTTATCAAGAGTATCTTTGTTTTGGCTCAATATCAGTACTACATGATATAATTTTCACATTATTCAGTACAGTTTTATAAACATTACATCTTGCTTAAAATCATAGTAAAATTAGTGTTTCTGGTTTACATGCATTTAAAAAAAACTTTGGACAATGTGATTTGATAAATAAACACACAAATATGCTAAACTTAATGTTTATTCTTGGCTAGCATCAACATTCTCTGTCTGTAAGCCTTTGATAGATGCAACTGGGACATAAGTCACAAGTGTAAATAGTTTGTGGGCTGAATCTTCATCATCATTACGTCTGCGGGAGAGCCTTACTCTGACACGGAATGGAACATTTCTGAAAAAAAAGTGATAATTGTACTACTAACCGTTTTTACATTACGTTTCAATTTCGAACAAAATTCTAAAGTATTCTTAATAATTTCAATACATACTTGTAACACTAAAAAAATACACCATTTTCAGACAGACTTAGTATGAATTCTGCCACATTATAAGCATTTATCAAATGTACATGTTATCTCCTTATTTGTAGGTTTTTCTACACATTTATATAAATAGGCAGATGTTGTAATCCATAACAGATTAAATACTTACAAGACTTTTCTTTATTATGATGTACAGATAAATCCAACTCAAAATTTATCAATATTATTTAATATAGCACTACTGTTTCATAATTTTTTGGACCAACCAAATCTTTGTTCAAACTTCAAAAATGCAAACATTTTCTGCCAAACATAACCAACAAAATTGGTAAGTATATTCAACAAAATACTATTTAAGTAAGATTTCATTTGTTTAACGTAAAGTTGTATAAATGTATATGACAACTACTTGACATTGGAAGTACTATCCTGTTCTCAGTTTTCATACAAGATTTCATTAGGCTTGATCAGCACAAATAACTACATTAAAGGTTATGTTGTCATTTCTTATTCTCAAATTTGAAATTATGCTTCATTATGAATCAAATAAAAGGCTATAAGCATGTAAATATAAGAAAAATAGATAAAAAATATCTCTCAATTACCTGACTCCCTTAGACCAGAGGTACTTATTCAAGCGAGTGTCCACTCGAACATCAGGAGTTCCCATATGTTTCTCAGCGAATTTACGGATTTCTTTAATAGCTCGTGGTGCCCGTTTCTTGAAACCAACTCCATGAAGCCGCTTATGTAAATTTACTGTGTATTCACGGGTAACAACTTCATTTATAGCCGATTTACCTTTCCTCTCTCCTTTAGGTTTAGCCATTTTAATCTGAAATTATGCGATATGGAGTTAAAATATATACTTCCCGCCATACTATATTATTTAAAAGTATTAACGTTGTTTAAAAGATCTAAAATATATGTGAAATGTTATTGATTATCATGGATCGTTTTGTAAATTCGCACACCTTTGACTTTGTCTTCCAAAATCGACACAAAAAGAAACGTCAAAAACATAGAAAATGTAAGCCAAATGTTTTTGACAGCTACTGTCAGATTGTATATTTTGTCTATGGACCCAGTTAATCCTATGGGTTGTCTATGACAAAAATATGTTATACCTTGTAAATAAATAAATGGGGAAGTATTAAAAAAAACATTAGTTCCTGAAATCACACTACCTTTCCGGTTTTCTTTCAAGATTAAAAGTAAATTAGTTTTCAAAACTCAATAAACAACTCATATTTTTGCACGAATTAATTTCCGTTCCTTTTAACTAACATATTATAAAACTGAAATTTTGAAAACTTAGATTTCCATACAAATACGAAAAAGTACAAACAGAATATGAGTTGTTTATTAAGTATTGAAAACTAATTTAATTTTATACATGAAAGAACACTGGAAGGGTTGTCATGGATAAATCAAGAAAGTACCTACCGTAGCGAATGCTGGATTCAGCATGTAGAAAGACATGCAACAGAGCAAGCGTCATGTAGAGGTCAAATTTTTGACCTCATTCTCTTGTTCGGAATGCAATATCCAATACTATATTACTTAAAATGTTTGCTCAAACTTGATAGATTTATAAGGCGCCCGTATTATAATGTAGTATTTTTACATAGTACTTGCTCTTGGTCTGTTGAGACTATATTATTTTGTAGTGAAATATATTTTTATAGAGCAAACCACAAGGACTGGTGAATTTTTTTAAGCATTTCTCTTTAAGATATTAATTTTTTTAAACTCGCTGTAGCCGAGACCTAGGCAAGTCATTAACATTAACGGCTCATAATCGCAATAAAAAAGTATTAAAATTATTGTATGGGAGATGTTGATCTAATACGTAGAAACTTCTTCTTAGTCTGTGGAAAAGGAAGCAAGAGCATCCTTTACTCATTGTTTACATTTTACAACTTTAATATTAAGTTTGTAGCTTAGTAGGATAGGAATTAATGTAAAATAACAATTTAAGCCTTTTATTAGAATAATGGCTGAAATATATAAGTAACTATTTGAGTATACTATAATCTCTATTTATTGGTGTTATCAAATACATACGTCTGTATTAATCTGTAACTTAAAATTTTGCAGGTTAATTCATCCACTTAAATATTTTAACGACTACATTTCACGAGAAATTCGTCCAGATGGTCGTAAATTCCACGAATGCCGAAATATTAAACTGAATGTGAACTCATTAAAAACAGCTGAAGCATCGGCTGTGGTAAAATGTGGAAACACCACCGTTGTATGTGGAATACAATTGGTAATCGTATCCTACTAATATTATAAATGCGAAAGTTTGTGAAGATGTGTGTATGTTTGTTACTTTTTCACGCACTCTACTGAACGGGTTTTGATAAAATTTTGTACACAGGCAATTCTAAACTGAATTAACATATCTGCAACTTTTTATCACACTAAACTTTCCTAGACACCATGCCGGCAACTCAAATAACAAATTGTGTTTTAATGATACTCTTTCTTTCAGGAATTAGCGTCTCCTAAGGCTGAAGAACCAGACTTTGGCTACTTAGTTACGAATTTAGAACTTCCTGCTTTATGTTCCTCAAAATACAGACCAGGCCCACCTTCCGACCATGCACAAGTTACAAATTACTTAGTATCAAATATCATAGTGAATTCAAAATGTATAGACTTGAAAGACCTTTGTATTGTACCTGATAAACTAGCCTGGGTATTGTACTGTGATATGGTATGTCTAGATAATGATGGGAGTCTAGTTGATGCTTGTATTATAGCATTAATTTCTAGTCTCAAAACATGTAAGTAGTTTTTATTTAACCCTTCTATCAAACTACTACAAAACAAAATTGTTGCATCAAAATATCCATAAATAATTAATTAATATATTTAGATGTTATGAATATGATAAAATACAACTTTATTGAATGTTATTAACAGTGCCATTTTCAAAAATAAGTTTTTAATTATAGTCAAGTACATCCAAAAGTTTATATTCATTCTTTTTTATAGTACGCCTGCCTACTGTTACTTATGATGCTGAAACAGAAGACATCAATGTAGATCCTGATATAAGAACACCATTGAAAGTATATGGTTTACCAGTAGCTACAAGTTTTTCTGTTTATAAACTTCCAGAAAGGTATTAATTTAATGTTTTTAAGTGTTGGGAAATGGTAAACATGATATGTTATAACTTATTTATTGCCATTATTTATATTTTAGGGACATCTTGATAACTGATCCATCCATTTATGAAGAAGAAATGTGTGGAGGGATTGGCTCAAACTTCATTGTATGTTCAAATCAGAGTCTGTTGTGTGGCACACAGAAATTTGGTGGCAGTAATCTTCCACCTGAAAGTCAAGAAGAAGCTCTAAAGATTTCCAGAGATAGAGCTAATGTTGTGGAGAAAGTTATAGAAACTTGCTTAGCAAATAATTGTGAAATAAATGAAATTTAAAATGTTTTATAATATCTACTTTCATATTTACATATCAGCTTCTCTTAAAAAGTGCCATTTTTGTGAGTAGGTGAAATTGTGGTGATACAGCATAATATAGCTTAAAGGTGTGAATACATTGTAGGGGAAAAAAACCTTCATACTGTACCCAAGAAGTGCTTACATTTGCTATTTTGCATAAATGTAGTGTTTTTAAACAATGCAAAGCTGTGCTAGCATGTTCATAGAGAAAGATAGTATAATGATGGGAAACCATGTTGGCGAAGGAATATAACAATCCAAAACCAATCTGATTTAAATACTGTTAAAGGGAAGAGGTCGACTTCTACTGGTAGCATTAATTGGCGATTTCACTACGGGCATTGCTATCTGTCAGCTGTCAATGTATTTCCAGGTTGTTATTCTTGTAAAACTATTGGAATCAGCATTGCCATTTTAAATAAATCAATTGAATAGTAAATGTGTTTTGCACTAGAAAACTGGCCGTGTAAATGAATGGTGCTATTCAATTAAATGACTAGCCGCCCGATTGGACGGCTGATGTAGCTGGATTTGGATCGTTGAATTTGAATGTTAAAAATTTGGACAAGTGATATACGTTTACAATATTTTGATATTATAACGCTTTAAAAAAAAAGATAGTTATTAGTGTGTTTAGAATCCGTAAGTTCGTTAACAGGTGATAGATAATAATAAAAGTATTTTTTTAATAGTAAACGTTTACTACCAAAACAAAAAAGGGAGACTTCATATAGCTCAAATAAATGTGTGAAAGCCATTTTAATTTGACATATTACATTAGTGATTGACATAAAGTTATTTACTATCGATATTGAAAAACAACAAGAAAATTAATTGAAAGGATACTGGAGTAATGATTTCTTTATATTATTTTAGATATACATTGAATTGTATTGATTAAATGTGATTTTTTCGTTAGATATTGATTATTAGTTAGTTGATTGATTCAGTAAGAAATATTTAAATCACTTTATAATAATGAACTAATATTGAATCGGTACTAGTCCTGCTTTAATATTTATTTGCATATAAGTATGTTTGTTTATAAATAATAATAGTAGGTTTTTTTTTACGTTACGTTACTTGATTTCGTATCAAGTAAACAGATAAGATCGGCAACATCGCTTAAATGAAACTATTTATTTACATTATATTGTTTGTCAATATAATGTAAATAAATGTATACAAAATTAAAAAAATACCATTAGTACAATAAATGCTATTGGAACTTACCCGAATGGATTCCGATTAAGAAGTAAAAAGATTTAAAAATAATTGTTGTTAATGGTTCAAAATAAAAAAAACCTGTTACAATATTACGAATATAAAAACAGATTCTTTCGCTACACCACACTCATTATTAAATTAATATACAAAACGAAGTCAATATAGTAGTCAAGAATATGTTTACATTTTATTTATTGCTATTAAATCTCTGATTAAATTTATCTTTTATTACCACTATTTTTGTCATCCTTACTTTTATTTAGTTTTTACTAACTTATCACACCAAGAATCGATTAAACGTTTCCAGGCACTTCACTAGCCATCTACCGTAATCAATTATAATATTACGTGCTTAGTACGTCGCAATGTAATAAATATGCGTACTTCTCCAGGAATGTATATTTTTTTGGAAATATTTTTTGTGGTTCACACTTTTGACAACATTTCACGTATTTCGCCTAAAATACTAAATTTGAGAAGTGTTGTACTTACTAATGGAAAGAAATCCTTCCTTTGGACCTACTTGAGGATGGACTTCTTTTTTTGCAATTAATAACTGCGCAAGTCGGTATTTTTAACACTTTTAGTGGCGTTTTTCACAGTATTTACAGCGCGCGCATTCGTGAATGATTAAACATCGCGATGGCGTAGTGAAGTCATGATCCTGTACATTTGTCCAGGATCGTGGCTAGACAAACCGGCAAGACAAAAAGGCAAAAAAAAATAGCTAAATCGATTAGAAATTATGCAACACTTGTACGAATGTATCTGTTTATCTATATAGAAAATTATTTCTTTGTCAATTTTCAGACATCAAATTTTATAATAACGGCTTTAGAAATAATTTTATACGTTTAAAAAAATTATAAACCGTTATAATAATACAATATAACGATATATCGGAACACCACAATACATAAGTAAATACACTTTTTAAATGGCAACATTTATTTAAAATGTCACCACGTCTCAAAATATCGAGCTATGTTATTGAGGTAAATATTTTATATTTTACAGAGATATAAATAATAAATAAATGCTAGTGCTATCTCCTAGTAAATATTTAACTTATTGATATATTTCAGTAATAAAATAATTTCAGAGAAAACATGTATATAACCTTCCATATTATATCAAGTTTGTTTTGTAAATATTTGTCTGGTTATTATTTAAGCAACATCCACATTCATTTCCTGGTTTCTTTAATTCACAGAGGCTATCTAAGATAGATACAAATGAAAGTACAGGATGTCTCTTCGGACTTATGTACGATGGCACTTTACTAGTTGTAGGTTTGAGTTTAGAATTATTTGAAAATGACAAAAACACATACAATCAACTTCTTCTTAACCTTCCTGCTGAGGTAGAATTATGTGGAGCAATAAAGTTTGATGATACATTAACTATGGGATCAAAACTGAAAGAAATTTTACATGTAAGTCAACAATTTATAGTCAATCATGAATATTGTGTGAAATTTTACTATACTTTTAAATTACAACACTGTTACCAGATCTACAGAGAGGTATGTGTAAATCTAAAGGTTAATTTCAGGATGTTGACATAACTGATAATCCTTTGGTGATCACACTAAATGATAATAGAGATATGAAAGTACACTTTCTAGTGCATGAGAAGTTTGAAGAAACCAAATATGAAGTAATGGAATCAAATGATTTATGGAAAGAGTTTCTTCATGTCCGTCTTAATACCACACTCCCTATAACTTGTGAAGCAACAATAGCAGGTGTGAAAAGCATTCTTCAAACAAAAAGAAAAAGAGTAAGATCATCTTTTCATAATTAATCAAACCTTTTCACTAATGTCAAAGAGACTTTAATGAATTATCCTTTTTAAATTTTAGATAGCATCAGGGCAAGTGTCTTTTAATGTTGATGGCACATCTGTTTACTTATTTGGAGTGGCTTCAGATGTCGGATTAACTGGTACTAGTACAGAATTAACAATTGGTGAATTAGTGGATTCTTTGAACCCTGGACAATCTTCCAAAAAGAAAAAGCAGCTTGTTAATACTGTGGTATGCTGGAATTTATTTACTATAAAACATTATCATATGACTCATAAATGAAAAATTATTTCGATGGAAATTTATTTGACTAAAGAGGTCATATGAAAGTTGCAATTAAACAAAGTTCTCAATTACTTAATCTAAAATTAATGTTACCTGAGTAGAATAAAAAAGTGAAGACACCTACTCCAAATATTTAATCTAAATGTGAATTATTTTTAGGAAGCTGTACCGGTAAGTTTAGTTATGAAGACAACTAAAGATATTTTATCAGAAAAATTGGTTAAAACTGCAGTTAAGATGATGACAACACAACGAAAACGTAAGTTAATAGCATGCATACAATGAAAATATATATTATCTAAGATATACATAACAAAACATTAATTATAGGTCTAATTTTATAAATGAAACAACATTTAAACAGTTTCATTGCATTGGTATTTAGTTTTATGGACCCTTTACAAGTCACATCCTATCCTATTAATATTATAAAGGCGAAAGTTTGTAAGTATGGATGTATGGATGTTTGTTACTCTTTCACGAAAAAACTACTGGACGGATTTGGATAAAACTTTACAGCAATATAGGTTATACATCAGAATAACACATAGGGTACTTTTTACTGGGAAAACTTCTCACTCCCACGGGATACCGACTTCCACGCGGACGAAGTCGCGGGCGTCCACTAGTGTTAACATAAGACTAAATAAAATGCGATGAAACTGTTTAAAAGTTGTTTAATTTATGGATAGTGCACATGAGAATATAAGAAATCAATAGGTCTAATTTTCCTTTAATGAAACATTATTATTAAATACTAGCTTTTGCCCTTGACTTTGACCCCGTGGTATAGTTATTTGGACCAACATTTCTAAAAACCTTTTTTTTATATTGCTATCTGCAATTGGTCGAAAGACCATAAGCTAATTTGTTGATATAGGTAATTGGTTTAGTGAAGCGTTCATCACTGCTTCTACTAGTAAAGTATGTGGTCAATTTTCAACCTCTTCCCCATGTTCAATGGGTCCAACAACTGCACCTAACACCCAAACCCTCTTATAGGGTTTGGGTGTTTCTTTAAACAATCCTTGTGTCTTTTTCGATATGATTCGAATTCAGCAGCCACTGTTGGCATGTTCAGATAAGCACGGATTTCATCATACTTACCAGGAACCAGGGAGCATTTACAATATTCTTCAGTATGCTGTTTTGTACTCACAGCATACTGAAGACATATTATACTTAACTTGCTCGCCATACTCCATATTTGTATCCCATATGTCCAAATCAGTTTTAACACTGAATTATATATCAGTAGTTTGTTGTTTTAAAAACCCTAAAACCAATACATTATTTAAGATATGTTAACATGTAACTTGTAAAGGGTCCGAGTGTCCATAAAACTAAATACCAATGCAATAAAACCGTTTAAATGTTGTTTCATTTATAAAATTAGACCTATAATTAAGAAATGGTGTTAAATACCTGAATACAAACCCTTTTATCAAAATTGAATACAACCTATGACCAAGTCAACTAAGATACTTTGAACAATATCTTCACTTTGCTTCATTGATAATTAATTTATCGCATTTTTTTTATTTTGCCATAACTCGTTAAATATTCATTTTTTTCATATAGTGTAAAAGGCATCTTGATCTACATTAAATGTATAACGTATCTAATGTATTCAATAAAATAAAGATTATTATTGTATTATTAAAAATAGATTCATAATAACCTATAATTTTATTGTAGTATTATCATTTTATTGTAACTACTTTGCACAAATACAAATGGCGGACTTAATGCCAGTAGGCATTCTCTACCAGTCAACTGGAGAGTTATGTAATAGATATTTTAATAATCCTTGGAAGATAGACATATACTATCGCGGACTTTTTTGTGGATCTATTAGAGATGTGTGTGTCATCATGTCATGTAGTTATTTAGCATACATTGCCATTGTTATATTAATAGAAAGATAACTTTATTTCAGCTGCATTCTGTATTAGCATGCCATTGAAAATAGACACATTGGCTATGATCAACAGAAACACGAAGTTACTTGATTTATACACAGTTTTGGTGGAAGCATCCTGTCGATCCCTTAGACTTTTGGAAAGTGTACTGTTAGAACAATTAGGTATGTTGACACTTATATTCTAGCTTAGGATATGATTATTTTAAGTGTTCTCTCACAACTAAAATGTGATTTTTTTAAGTTTTCTTGATAAGACAAATGACGACCTCCGTAGCCGAGTGGTTCGCACACCGGTTTCAAGGTGTTGCCATCTCTGAGGTTCCGGATTAAATTCCTGATTGAGTTGATGTAGAAAATGGATTTATCTATATTGTCTCGGTTCTGGGTGTTGTGGTACTTTGTTGTCTCAGATACTCAATAATACGGGGCTTTAGCGACTCATCTTGGAATCTGAGCGATGTCTGTGAAGTTACCTGTATTTAAAGAACAGTTACCTCTTAACTTCTCATTTGTTCAAATTTTCAAAAACAATAAAACCCATATTTTATTCGTAAAATTGATAAAAATGTATGTCACTTTGTATGAAGAGAATTATGCAGCTCTGGAAAATAATATTCAGGATAATTGATTAAAAGGTTTTAACGCGCATTTGCTTTTTTTCTGTTTGATAAAAACTTGCATAGTGTTTTTTTTTCTGACGAATAAAACAGATAAGTTTCTTGTATTTAGGACAAGAAGGTATTGGAGATGGAGCTGGGCTACGACTACCAGAGACATTTCATTATTTACCTCCGGAAATTGGTCATTTTATTACAAGGATAGTGCCAAAAGGAATACCTGATGAGAGTATGGGTAAGTTTGTGCTTAAACTTTATGCTATAGTTTTTTTTACTATTTCTCTTTCCCTACAGTTTATGTCTGAGTTTTACACTTGCCTTAAAAAAAATTATATGAGAATTTGAATGAAGTAAAAACTCTCAAAACTTTATTTAAATTCGCTTAAATACTGACTTTTACTCAAGTAATTACTAAAAGATTCTAGATACTAGTTAGTGATTGTACAAAATTACTTTTCAACTGTGTATAAAATAAGCATATGCAGGGTTATTTTTCATCAATAACTATAAGTTTAATCATAAACTAATGTTTTTATTTTACTATTGTGACACATTGTTCTATATTTTATTCATGAAGAAAAAAGCAAAGCTTTACTGTCGTGCCAACATTGTCTTGGTACTGCGCATTTGAGCAGAACATTAACATTCATTTGTTATATTAAAGCAAATTCATTAGTTTTTTTAGTCATACGAGGTTATCAGTATTTTACCACTAACCCTGTATATTTTAGATTTTATTTATTTACATTTAATTATACATATACTATTCAAATACACAATACCGCGGTTTCTACCTTACTTATTTTAATTATAACAATGTTTAATGTAATCATGGAAATACACATACTTTATATTCGTCACGACACTGCAAACGTGTCGTGACATCACAGTCCTCTAAGGAAAATCTCAAATTTGACTTTGACATGTCAAGAACTGTGCATAGAACTATATTTGTAGTTGTTATTGTTTATGTTAATTTCAGAGGGCTGTGACGTCACATCGATGCCAGAGGTTAGCGTTTAAGCAGCAAATTTTGAACATGAATTATATTTTTAATTTTCTTATTTATTTCTTAAAATATATTTCAAGTATATCTATAAAATAAAAATATAAAAAATAATCGTCTACGCCCGTATTTAACTAAACTCGAACTTGATAGCGCCAAGTGCTTCGCTTTGATGATAAATAAATATGAGTAAAACTATACTTTGTGTATTTTAGAGAACGAGAGGCGGGCACTACATAAACAGTTGGCCTTACCACTAAAGAAACCAACATTCCGTCGAGGCAACTCTTATTTTGATAAAAGTTGTGGACGTCTGATGAATCCTCATGAATATGTTCCCGTTCAACTGTCAAAGCCTGATGTCACTGTTTCTATAGTACGTGGACGTTATGCCTATTACCACTACATGCAAGACAATTTTAACGACGATGGATGGGGATGTGCATATCGCTCAATGCAAACTATTTTTTCTTGGTTTAGGTAAATATAAAAGTTGTCTACCAAATTATTTTAAAAGTATACGATTGTGATACGGCAAATACTTTTTATAAATATATTAAATGCATATGCATGTAGCTACATTATTCGCAGTCAATATCTATTACTTACCTTAATTTTTTATATTTACCCTGTATTTAAAGTTGTTTTTCAATGTTTTAACATATTTCAAGTCAAGTCTAAAACATTAAGAATTTAAAAAATAACTTTTGGAACTACAAATATCCAATACGCAGGCAATCCTAGGATTGATATATCATATTTTCGTTTAGTAATAGAAACGAAATATCCGTTATATTATATGTATTTTATAATATGTAATTGATTACTTCCCCTAACAACATAAGTTAGGAGGATTTTGTTATGGATGGGAATAGATTCGTTGTATGGGTCTCATCATACCTCAGGCATAAGTTAAAAATCAGTGTTTTACTCTATTTGAGCAAATATACCGCTGAAGTTTTGCATCGCTGTAATTCACGCGAAATTAAGATACTTTCTAATTAATTAAGGTCAAAGTCTTAGATTAAGATTTATTGTTTCTTGTTTTAATATTATATCAAATTGTATTGCTTTGTAAATACTATATTATGGTTACATATTTTGTTCAGTGCATATATCGCTCACTGAATAGTACAGTGGCACAACTCAAAAACCATAATTTCGAGAAACGCTCTCCGAAGTTATGAAAATTTAACATATTTGTAATTTTGAAAATCAAAATTTTTAGCATAACAGTTAAATCGTTTGTTTTATATTATTACCAAAGGTTGGAATTAGGTAGAGTTATTCATGTACTTGCATCGAAATGTTGATATTAATGTGGACCTTCGTGGCAACATCGCGCGTATTGGTATTTTGCAACTTTGGACATCCGATGTCATTGATGTAAGTTTGGCAACGTCGTGCGTGCAGTAGTTTAAATTGTGTAAAAGTAAATAACTTTTTATTTAAAAACTCACGGGATTTTTTCTACTCTTTAAAATTAATCTCGGGATTTGAGGCATATCCACTTTCTTCTTTCGCTGTATGAAATCAGTGTAAGTACATGAATAACTCTACCTAATTCCAACCACTGATTATTACTGTTAAGTTTTTTATTTTTTCTTAAAATTATCTATGGGATGCCACCACAATGTTGTGGCGTTTTCTCGAAATAATGGTTTTTGAGTTATGCCACTATACTATTCAGTGAGGGATATGATTTTGTGACAACAAATGTTTGTTTATATTTCAGATACCAAGGTTATACTGTAGTGGATGTACCTACACATAGAGAAATTCAGCAGTGCCTTGTTAAAATTGGAGATAAACCTTCATCATTTATTGGTTCTAAGCAATGGATAGGCTCCACAGAGGTCATGTTTTGCTTAGAAACCCTCCTCGGGGTACAGTCACGGATCTTGTTTGCAAATACTGGTTCAGAACTACAAAGTTACGCACCTGAACTAGTTCATCACTTTCAAACACATGGCAGCCCAATTATGATCGGTAAGTGTTTTGTGATGCATAGAAATTAAGAGGCATGGTTTCTAAACATGGGAAATAATATCAGATGTAATAATGAACGAAACTGATACACAACGCGAAAGTGAAGGAGTGTAAAAGTTGGAGAAGGCCAATTAGGACATGTTAAATCAGAAGTCATAAAAAAAATCCATTCGTTTTTATAAACTAATTAATCGAGTATTGGGCATATGATAGTAAAAGAGTAATCTTAGGACCTTTGACCAAATTTCTTTTCAAGCTAGTCCTTCGTATGTTATCTCACAAATCGTCTTGATGCTTGCTAAACATCTGTTTATATATGCTTTGATAAGAATATTTTATAATCAATAATATTCTTATTTCTTAATATATTTATTTTGGATATTATTAATCATATGCTGTCGCGAACTTAGTTTATTGCTGTAAAACACCTGAAATAAAATTGCTAGATAAATACGTAGGTAAAAATAAAACGTAGTCTAGCTTGGTGTTTTTAGAATAACATATATTAATTTGTTTTATAATTGAATACATAGAAGTGGAATCAATTCGTACATGATTTTTGCGTACCTTTCACCGCTTATACAGCGCACGCAAGGAAAGCTCTCAAGAAGTAAAATATTCTCCCGTTTTCACAACATTTTTCATTGATGCTCCACTCCTATTCTATCCTATTAGTCATAGCGTGATGATTATATAAGCTTATCCTATAGCCATCCTCGATAAATAAGACTATTCCTGAGATTAGAGAGTTCAAACTAACTCTTCAGCTTTATTATTAATATAGTATAGATAAAACACTTTACTAATATTTATATTATTATTATTGTGATTTTAAATGAAAATTAAACTGCAATATGTTTTTATTTTATTTCAATTTTATATCTTGGAACTATAATAAAAATCTAGAAAAAAATGGGACATATAGATGACAGATAGTATTTTTTCAGGTGGAGGTGTCCTCGCACATACTATACTGGGTGTCGAATACAACTCTATAACCAACGAGACGCGATATCTTATATTAGATCCCCATTATACAGGCGCTGAAGACATCTCGGTGGTAGTAAACAAAGGATGGTGTGGTTGGAAAAATTCCGATTTCTGGAATAAATCAGCTCATTACAATTTATGTTTGCCGCAAACAAAAGCTTCTATATGAATAAATATAATCCATAGCTTCCCTTATAGCCGAAATCCGATTTTATTTTTTAACTTGTAATTATTTTCTATAAATAATATAATTATGTATGTCCATTTTATTTAGAAATTAATGAGCTGTGATAATCGGCTTTTAAGGGCAATCCTATTCCACATAAATGCATTTTTGAATTTACATCTTTATCTATTTTATCATTAATTTATAAACAACTTTGCAAAAAGTTTTAAAATAAGTAAAACGGTCAAACACACTGTTGATGATTGAAATGGTGGAGGTCGATATAATCAAAATAACAAGTATTATCTCAAAATATTGTGGTTGTGTGTACATTTCATAAGGTTTAGTTGCATATTTATTTGAAATAAGACACCAACATAACGTGGCCCTCAGGCTCAGGCTCTGGGTCTTGTATATTTAGAGGAATTTAAGACTATATCCAGAATTACGGACGTTAAACACGTTTCGCGTTGATCTTAAATAATTAAAACGTTTGCAATGTTGAACTTAAAATCACTCTTTGCGCTTTCAACATAGAATTCTATTTGCCATTATATATGTTAGAACACAGAATCTGCACAAAATTCGTCATCAAAATGCAGATTTATTATTGTATTCGATTTTATGGAGCACTGTATTTAAAATAGATGTGCTCACCCACCAATTTAAAAATATCACATCAATATGAAGAGTTTGAATAACTGTTGATAAAGTTCATAATTTGTCCTTTGCTGTATATTTAATTCATGCCAAGTATATATTTTCAAATGTAACAAGTATTGGAGGAATGTATGTTAAATGGAATTGTTATATTTTGTACCTTAAATTATAATTAAAATAAAGTTTCTTTTTTATGCAACAAATGTTTTTTTTTTATTAAAATATCTTAAATGTGGGAGTGTTGCAGTGTATACATTTTCATCATTAACATTATTACTAGTGATGTAACGAATCGAATATTCGTATTAGATTAGACGATTATTATTCATTAGCTTTTGCCAGCGGCTTCGCCCGCGTGGACTCTAGGGAAATGTTTAGTGAGATAAAAATTCTATTATCTAAGTCAGCTAATACCCTATCTGTATACCAAATTTCATCCAAATCCGTTCAGTAGTTTCGGCGTGATTGACGGACAAACATCCAAACAAAGAAACTTTCATATTTATAATATTAATAGGATTAATATTCATAAAAATGATAATCTATCAAATGGGAAAGTACACTATCAGGTCCCAGCCGCTAGAGGTCGGCGATTTATGTGGGACTACTCTGCGGTCCCACCCCAGAATGGGCTAGCGGGGGCATATCTATTAAAACCTAGCGATGTCCCTCTATATGGAGACGAAGACCACTTCCTGAACCGTTCGCCACCATTTCGGCCTACCCTAATGCTGGCAGGTAAACTGTAATACAATAAAAATTGAAACGATCTTTATGGTATTATTCACTTTTATTTACAATGGCTATGTAAGTACAGACAGGTACACTTACATCGTATAAGTAGGTAGATCACGAAGATTATTACTAAATCACAGAAAAAATCAAGATTATATTTTTTTATAGCTTATGTTGTCTATTTTTAATATTACTTAATTTTTCAATGATATTGGCAGCGTTTTATCCTTTGTAACCTTCGATGTATTCTTCTACAAGCTGGCTGCTACTTTGCTTATTCCAGCCCCTCACAAACTGCGATTGTCTCCTAGAAGTCTTATTAAGTCGGAACAGTTTGTGATGGAAATAAATAAATAACAATATTACTGGAGATAAAGTTATAACAAGTTAAATACTAAGATCTACTCAATGAATAACAAAAAAAAACAATATTTTTCCTTAATATTATTCAAGCAAATGGTATTTATTACAGAAGGTGTGTGAATACATTGATGCCCGTTTTCACTAGTTAGGAGTCGTGTAAATCTGACGCCTAAATATTTCAGAATCGCCTAAAGCTAAAAATCCGTTTTACCAATGACTAGGAGCCACCTAACAAGATTAAACAATGTTGTTATAACATGCGTTATTGCGGCGCCTTGCGCTAAGCATTTGCATTATGTATATTTAAATAGTGTCGAGGGATTAAAACAATTCGTTTACTTGGAATGAAACAAATCTGCTTAGGAGATTGATTGATTTCTAACATTAGGCGTTTCCTAGTAAAACTATGCCTTATTCTAAGTTATTTAACGGGTGTGAGTTTTACAAAGAGAAATGTGATTTCAAAGTATGACATTATAAAAATCGTTTCTATTCCACGACACGGGGATCGAAAGCAGCCAATGCGCGTTATTGCAAATCACTTTATAGTACTAATGCTTTTACTAGAGAAAATGGTTTCAAAATCAGTTAATTTGTGTGCACTATACAGTGGGACATACCCACTAAATAAGTGTGTGGTTACACGATGCGTTGCGGTGCCGCAGCGGCATGACATCCGGAACATCAGTGTATTGATGTGAATAGGGTCAGTATGTTAACTATTATGGAGAAAAATAAACTAATTGTCGAGAAAATGTGCTTATAATACAAAGATCTTTTTTTAATGGTTGTGAAATAAACACAATTAAATATTTGCGAGTAGGTACTTTTTAAAACAGAGAACAAATACCCCATTATTCAACTTAACGGACATTCTGAGGCACTTAGAACTTAATATATGTTATGCTCCCGGCTCTGTGCGTTGTCTCCGAGTCATTCAGTCAATACGTTAGATAATTCTTGTAGTATTCAATAATGAAGTGTTCTATGTTTATAAGTAATTCCTTGAATAATAAGTTTTACTTTTGTTTTATGCTAAAACAAATTCTGTAAAAAAAAAAGACAGTAAAAGTGTGTCCAGATACATGCCATATAAGATAAAGGCGTTTTTAAAATATCACTGGGCGGTAGAGTATCACTCCTCCCCACTGCGTCTCAACGTGCAAATGCGACGCGTTTGCGGTGCGGCACCGCACGATAGTTTAACGCGCCGTGTGGCCGTACGCTAATATCATATATAGGCTTAACAGTATTTACAATAATATACAGAACAGAGTGAAAAATAACAGAGAAATTTAAGTATATACCTAGAAACAAATTCAAATACAAAAGCTTTTCATAAAACTACAATTTTAATGTTTGTATACAGTAAGTAGAGTGACACTTCAAATTACGTACGTTACACAAATTTTTACAAAAATATTTACTTTTTTAAAATCTGGGGTGCGACCGCCTAACTCATGGACGTAGCCGTAGTCGTAGCTATAACCTATGCTTTATTGGTGTTTCACATCAATCTGTTGACATTGTTTTAAAATTAATCGTTTTTTATTATTTACATATTTAATCAAACATTTTGGTTGTTTTTGTTAACTGAATTATTAAAGTTAAACGAAATTTACAAAATGTCGAATTGATACAAACTATGCTATTTCGAAAAGAAAAACAAACCAAAATGTTTGATTAAAATATATAAATTAAAAAACAATTAATTTTAAAAGAATATAAACAGATTCATTAGGAATATCGATAAAGCGTAGGTTATAGCTACGACTACGGCTACGTCCATGAGTTAGGCGGTCGCACCCCTGGTGTCTGTTCTGAACACTATAATATTTTTAGAAATTCCTTGAAACGTACATTTTCTTATTCCCTCCCATTAAATTCATCTGTAATCCAATAAAGGTTGTATAACTTAGTAACTGGGAATGTGACGCCGAAGGGGACGCCTTATGCGTATCGAATTGGATGACGCATTTAAGGATTTGCGCACTACCGCATTCTTCCGGCGACTGTTCATACAACTAAAATGTTTCGTGACGACAGGTGTGCGTTCGCCTTAATTACGAAAATCTTTTTATATATAAACCTTTAAAAAAATCTAACAGTTTGACATACTTATAAATAAATACATATTAACAGTTATTTGTGATGTAAACTGTTAGTTTAACATGCCCAACAATATTCCTTTTTTCTCTTATACATAATTTATATAGTTTAACACAATTCATTGAATAACAGAATTAACTAAACTATTGTCGTTACTATTACATTAACATTTAAGCTAAATTAAAACTGATTTATAGAATCTCCAAATCACAGTGCCGGATTTGAGGGAACTTTTTCTGTAATCAACAATAAACTTGGATTAATATATCTATTTAAAATTCGTACTGATGCATAAATAAGTCTATAGCAGGATAGGAATTTGCATTTTTGCCTTGCCGGGCAAACGATTTGACTATAGCAGTCAAAGTGTTTGCCATAATTTAACACAAAAATGGAGCATGGTAAATTTTCTTACGCGCAGGGCAAGCCTTTCATTTTCGACAATGATCGAAAATACTATTATTTGTGCTATTTTTTTTTAGTTTATTTTTTCTGTCTGCAATCAGCCTATGTCCTATTTAACAGACGTCATATTATGTCAAACATAATGTAGGGTGGGTGCACCGGTGACCGTCATTAAACATTTTTGAACTACTTTTATGTATCTGACTAAATTATTGCAATCATTGCGAAAATTAATCAATCTAAGCTTTATTATTATATGTAATAAGGAGTTATTACCATATAATAATAAAGCTTATTAGAATTTTCCGAATTGCTATTAAGTTTATTTTTATTAAAAAAATATGTGGCAAGTTGCAACGTGCCTAAGGTGGAGCCAGTTGTAAATATCATGTAGGTATGTCGATTTTAGTTATGAATGTGATCATAATATCATAATATTGTGATATGTTATAGGTAATATTGCATTAATACCAGTATAGAAATATTACCGAACGTGACAAAATGGTAGTAAGTGCAAAACAAAATTAATATTTAGGTTTTAATATTGAAATGGTCTTAATGGTTCCTGGTGTCAGACTGGCGCACCTACCCTAAATGCGAATTCATATCACTGACACTCGGGAATTGGGTACGCGTATCGTAATAGACACATACTGCAGGCTTACTCTTGAACGCAATCTCAATGTCAATTTCAATCCAATCCATTGACGATCTCTATTTTATCAGATCTTAGCTCTTTAAACACAAACTCGATATTTAATCAATGTCATTAGTTCATTCAATAACTACGCAATATTGACCAAATTGAGGCTAGAGTACCAAATAAAGAGTACGAAACGTCACAATGAGGAAGTATATAAAAAAAAACGAAAGCACTAAAAAAGCACCACCACTAGATGGCGGACTCTAGCAAAGGTTGATTTTTGCAGGAAACGAATGGACCAAAGACAGTCATTTCCGTTCCTTTTAACTAACATATTAAAAAACTGAAATTTGAAAAGTTCGAAACTTAGATATCAGTACAAATACGAAAAAGTACAAATAGAATATGAGTTGTTCATTAAGTTTTGAAAACTAATTTACTTTTAAACATGAAAGAAAACCGGAAGGGTTGTCATGGAGAAATCAAGAACGCACCGTAGCGACATCTAGTTTCATTTCGGGAACTAATATTTTTTTTAAATACTTCCTAATTGCAAATGTCTATAGATCGCGACATTTAATAATGCAATACAAGTACTACATTGATATGTAGTTGTGTTTTACTTTATTTTGTTATGTATTGCTTTAGAGCAAATACTACAGGAACAATAGATGAAATAACCACTATCGGTTAATAGACCGTATTTGTAAACCGAAAAATACTCACCCTCAATTTTAACTCTATTCTATCTATTTCACCGCCCAGCATGTCAACAATATTTTCACCATGTTTAAGTAGGAATGCTTCCACATCATCAATAGTCTCGATTTTCTTTATATCCTGTAATTTTATACATACTAAGAACTTCGTTTTGCTATATACCCATAAAAAATAAAAAACTACAATTAAATCATTATGGATAAATCTCATAATTAATTAATTCCACTAATTTATCTCATGGTGTACTTACTTCTAAAATGAGATTTAAATCATGCTTTTCTAAGTATGATCTTGTAAGCGCACGACCATCGAAATCTACTTCCGCCTAAAATAAAAAATCGTAAGTTATTGTTTGATGATAATCAGATAAGTTTTTAAGCTTCTATTAACTAATTTATTAAAGGGACTACTCACCTTATATCTAATAAGGTTGCTACCTATATCTATCCCTTTAACGTCATGAATTGCTCTTATCATAAAGTCTCTTTCTAAGACACTATTTATTTCATCAAGCTGTTCTTGTGGGATGGATCTGAAAATATAGATAAATTGTTATTAATTCAATTCCATAATGATGTTTCTTTTGTACTTATTATATTACTCTATTTTTATTAAAACGATGTTACATGCCTTTCATAGTTCTATGTCAACGGGAAGTATCCTATCAATTTTGATTTACTTTTTTGTGATATACTTTTTGTTGATTTAGAAGCTTTCTTCACATCTTCACTGACTCTAAACTCTTAATATACTCAGTATATAGTTTTAATCTCAAGTCGATATTGCATACCCGAAATTTAAACAAAACAACAAAGTGATACTATAAGGGTACCATTTTTCCAGGTCTCAAATATTATATTGTAACTTCCATAAAGGAATAATTTTACCTGCCAACTAACGCGTTGACGTTACTCAGTATAATGAAAGACGCAACTCCCCCGAGCAAAGTACCAACGAGTATACTGCCAATGGCGTCGGGCAGTGGATTACCAGTATACTGCGAAATGGCCATGCACGAAGCAGCCACCGTTACGCCCGCAACAGCTGCCGTGTCCTCCAATAGAACAACGTTCACTGAAGGATCGGAGCTACGCATCACTGAAGAATAAAAGAGTAGAGAGCTATAATATCTTATTTTAGATTATTTTGGAGTTATTTTAAATGGGATACCGCGACCCTCTCTCTCTTACTACTTACTAGTCGACTGACGTCTGGAGTCAAGGCCTGGCTACTCTAGTATAAAAGCTCAATGATCATGAATCTGCTTAAGCCGAGCAGACCTACCGATCCCGTGTTGACCGAATGTATTATTAGTCTTATTTTAAAAACCATAAGGTGTAAAATACGCTCTAGATTTTAGTGTCGATTACACTCAAAGGGGAAATCAGCATTAGCAAGTCCCATTAGTTGTCTTATTGTATCCAAGCACGCTCTAACTGCGACATAAATATTTAAATGCGACAATATTTAACCTTAACTTTAACCCTAGTAAATAGTAAGAATAAAATATACCCATTATAGTAAGAATAAAATATATTCGAGTTAGTCATCTATGAATGTGTTATGATAACAGTAATGCAAATTACCATACTCATAAAGAGGCACGTTAGCTTCTTTTGCACCTTTACGAATAGCATTTATAGCCACCATTAAAGTTGCGCCTTCAGAAACTACTGCACCGCCAAGAACAAAATATGCCTGTAATAAATTTATTATTAAACATAAGTCCTTTTTCATAATGTTGACTGTAAAACTACATAGGTGACTTCTTGAAAACCATATATAGAAAAACTCATGTGTATGAATAAATAAACACTTCATTACTTTATAATAATTTAAAGATTAATTTAATAATTAATAATACAGTAATTATTATTATACCCAAAAAAAATCGTGTAACGGCTGTGGATCCAGTATACCAGTTACTCCATGATAGAATGATAACCCACTTCCTACACAGAAAATGCCCACTCCAGAAATTAAAGAGGAAACATATCTCATATTTGTATATCCATAGGGATGATCAGGATCTGCAATCTAAAACCAAAGACATATGTTATAGATTAAAAAAAAAAGAAGTTCTCACATTGACCTGTATTTTGGTGCGCAGCATAGTATTTGTCAGATTTGGGACAGGTTTAAGGTATATTAATTGACTTAAAAAAATGGAGGTTCACACTTTAACACAATTCTGGCGTGGGTTTTATAAAAAAAAACCTTTTGTTTAGTGTTACCTATTATACAAAAAATAATCACTAAATAGCCTGAAATAAAGACTCTTTTTAACTCTTTTTAAGTTTGTAGTTGTTCTATTTTTTTATAATTTTAAGAATTAACGATAATAAGAATAAGAATAATAAAAAAAGAATAATCATTATGAGTATCATATTTAGGTAGGTGCTAAACACCAAAGGCACTTAAACTAAATGAAAACTTCAATTTATTGATTATTATTCTTACTTACTTGGACAGACTTATGTATTCCATAAGCCAAAATTAACTGATTCACTGTATCCGCCAAAGAGTGTATGCATTCAGAAAATAAACTATGTGAACCAGTGTAGAACCAAGCACAAAGTTTAAATATAAAATTACACCCATTACTGAAAAATAAAAAAAAAAGCATTAGACCAGTTACTATGGTATAAAAATTACAAAAGGATGTATATATTAGTAAAAATTGATACTTGCATTCCGATAGCAGTCAGGACAACTCTTCCAGATCTTGTTTTTAAACCTAACTCTTCTGTCTCTGGTCTCAGTCTTTTATGACTCATTTCACGTCTGTAGTTTCGTAACCTCCTTTTTACAGTAAACACATCTACAACATAAAGTTAAATAGCTTTTTTGATCATCACATATGCTCTTTAATTTAAAGATACAACACAGTGGAATTATAGTACTTTTGTTAGTTTTTTAATAACAGCAGCTAATCTTGGTTAGTTAGATGGTAATAAAGACACATAATAAAATTAGTATATCCCATTGCACCCCAAGCTTAATACATTCATGGAGTGTTTTAAACATTCTACAACATGTCCACATACATTTAATACAGATGACACAATCATATTATAGTACTTTTACTTAATTTCAATGGAGCTGCTAAAGTTATAATAAAAGTTATTCTATTGCTTTTTCTCAAAAATATGTTTTAGAAGTTTTAACTAATAATAATATACAAATAAGTAATTTGATTAAATATTCACTATCCTACGATAGTCAAGCTCTATACTGTTCTAATCCTTTTTATATTTGTTACTATGATTTTTAATTATCATACAACCAGCATAATAAACAAATGAAACATGGTCATTTATATCACCTTGTTCATATCTTCTTCTATCCAACTCTCTCCTCAACAACTCTTTTTCTAAAGCTTCTTTTGAACCCCAGACCTTAAAGAAAATACCACATTTGAAACATACAACACACTATGCATTCTTCTTTGTGATAAAATCCCACCAACCTCAATAGCTTTAGCTTCAACATCTTTTCTATAGTAAACAGTGATTGGTGGTTCTGATTCATATGGAGATCTTCGTAATACTTTAGGTAGACTTTCTAGATCCGACTGTTTTAATAAATACTCAGTCATAGCTCGGATAGGTGTAATGAAATTTCTTTCAGTATATGAAGCAGAAAAATCAATAAGAAGACGTTTCTTAACTGGAATAAATATTGTATATAAATATATAGAAAATATTATAAAATGATTTGAGTAAATGAATTCTCATACTACCAGGTGATGCTGCCGTTTGATTTGGCGGAGGCGTGATCGGTTGCGACTTTTCTATAGTGAGTTTTGTTACCACTTTGTTTTCATCAGTTTCTGTTTTAATAATTATGTCACCAGTAGCACCCTGTTTAATAACTTTATGATCAGTTTTTAAAGCTGATTTATCGGCATGATCGTTACTTTTATTGAAAACGTTTATGGATGTGTTGATATATCTTATTGTTTTCTTATCAACATAAAAGTCTTTTAATACTTTAACATGACTGGAATATACTGTGTGTAAGTGTTTGAATTCAGCAGGACGCGTACCTAACTTTTGATAAAAACATTTAATAGCAACTGAAGGCAACATTATGTGATTAATAATATATTTAAAATCGTCCTAAGCACATCAAGAAACACTTATAACTTTTAACACATTCTTCAGCGTTTATTCAATTTAAACAGCCGTAAGTAAGACGACGAACGGATTAATGAGTGTAAGAGAATTAAAATAAATAAATATCAAATGCGCCTTTATCGTATTTTTGGAAATGAAATTTATTTCGGAACCCGTTCAACTTTTCTCACACGTCCTTATAAAAATATACTTTACAAGCTGACCGCTGTCAACAGTTGCCATCTCTATGACAGTTGCTAATGTCAAACTCATTTTTGTTAACAACAAGGGATCTAATAAAAAGTCCATCCATGTTTCATATAGCATCCATGGATATGGTGACTATTTTATAACCATTATTATAAAAAACAGTTAGACAAAGTATATATTAGATATTTATTTAAATTTGCATATTAAAACAAATATTTTTTAATAGCTATAATTGCTGAAATCTAACCCTCTAAAGATTAAAACATCAATAATTGTCACGAAAATTGGAACTTTTTTTTAATAGGGGTTGAATCAAGAAAATCGATTAAATCGAAATCTGTTTTCAACAATAATATCACATTTTTTAAATAATTGTTGTAGCAAAAGTATTTTGTACTTTTCTGACTTGGGTTCATATTGTTGATGAATAATTATTTTTCTTAAATTGTGTTTACTACATTGACCTTAAAATCGATTATCTCTATTAGAAATGAACTCGAGTTTTTATATACAGGAATATTTTTATTTCCAGTGCAAGAATTATTTTTTGGTGATTCAGTATCAGTAATATAACACTTTTCCATAATTTGTTTCTTTTTTTATCCCTTACCATTGAAACGGTAGAATATGGATACATTTTTTAAAATAAAACTTCAATGAAAACGTCTCCTTTTGCGTATACCTCCGTGCATGCCCGCCGCGTCCGGCAACCCCCCGCCACAGTCCCCGCCGCGGGCGATGCGCGAGACAGTGGGGGCAGTGAGACTCATACGCACGCGTCTTCGTGACGCGTCCTCGCGTTCCCGCACCAGCGCAGTACCTGCCGTCCGCGCTTTTCGTGTTGTGTTTCGAGATTATCTTCTGAGTGGTGAGAACCTAAGTGCAGCTCGGAGAAAGTAGTAGAAAGCGACGGAGAGCATACCTCGTATGCGAGCCTTTGGAATCCGTAACGTATAAGTTTTTACATCTGATAGTAGTAAAAATAAATGCTTTCGTTCTGCCCCAATTTATTATTGTTTATGTAAAATGACCCAGTCAGGTCATTATTTAGGTGCCTTTCACTTATAGGGGGATGAACCCAATTTTTTTTCTGTCTTCTAGTTCTACATCTTCGCATGTAGAGTATTAAACAATGTTTCAAAAATCTCATCATACCTAGTGTTAATGACGATAAGCACTAGCTACTCATCCGGGGTTTTCATGTCATTCCGGACCGGAAAAAAATCGGGCATCCGGGCCTGAAAATTCAGTGTAGTGTACAAGCGCCCTATGCGAGTGGCTTCTACATCACCACGATGCAAACATCTTGTGGATGGATGAGGCATTGTTCACACGTGTGAGACTGTTTCTTATGGGGAGAAGACAAACGCCGGGATCAAGACTCGACAATTAGAATTAATAACGCTTTTAGTGAAGTGAAAACTGACACTAGTGTTTTAAATAAATTAAATGACAATTAAATGAAACGTGCATGTTTATGCCAGGACAGAGGTGGACTTCACTTTGAACAAATATTGAAATACAGTGATTAGTACATGGTAAGCAATTAATTTAATGATCAATTTTAGTTAGGTATTATTTTTAATTCAACATTATTGTAAATACGTAGTTGATTACAATTTTTAAATACGCCTTAACGCAGAAGGACCTGTGTAACCTCGGCATAACGTTAATATTTTTTCTAGGTAACTAATTTGTATCTCTTTTTTTTTGCATTTTGATGGCCTTAACCATAAAAGATTGAAGTGAAAATTGGAATTATTCTTAAAAATCACCTCGGATCATGGCATAAATTCTATTTCGAATCTAACAATACGAGCGGCCAGTAACCCGTGTAGATACTTACATACTTATATCTACGGCATCGAGCGCCCGCTCAGCTGACGCACGGCGCGTGGTGTCCATAACTTTAGTTTAAAAGTCTCGATCTTTGCTAAGCGATAACTTTATTTTTTAGTATAAGAACATATCAAAATAAAAAAAAAACGTGTTTGTTTAAATTACTTAAAGTTTATTTTCACAAAATCTTCGCAGTGGTTTTAAATTATTCCTGTATACAATTTTTTATTACGAAATCACTAAACTTCAAATCTCAAACGTCACGGTACCCATGCTATGGGCAAAGACTATAGTAATATTTCTTTATCATTGTTTTTAAATGCTTTTTTTGTCTTGATTTTTTTTACCACTTCCTCACTTCTTTATTTTCCTTTTCTTTCTATATCTTAGGTTTCGCCATAGGGATTGGCTCAAAAACATGTCATACGGTAGGACTCGGATAGGACACCATTCAAATGGTCTTTATCCCAAATAGTCGTGAAACGTTGCTTTCAACATACAAGATAATTCTGCGACAGGATGCCGCGGCGGCGCCGGCCCCCCTGTCAAGTTACTATCTGACTGATTGCTGTCCGATGAGCTACATGACTTAAAAACATGACTCTTGTTGATTTTGACTAACATTAATAGTAGTTGGCAAGCAGGACTCATATGTCAGCCTATTCGTCTCTTTCCGAAAATTACAGAAATCTTTATTCCTTCTACAACAAGCAATGATATCCATTTTTATTTTGTTTTCATTTAAATGGCACCTTCTAAGCTTATCCTTAATTTTTTTCCTTGTATCACTCATTAAATTATACAAGGAACCTTGTATTGGTTTGCTATTTAGAAGCAACGTCTGGTATGCCGAACGTGCCGTATGGAAACCTCTGATATGAAAATTCCACCCTATAATTTGTCTTCTGGTTTTTGATTCTTTACCACGATATGATCCTTCAGCCGCTTTAGTTAAAGATTCTATAATGTTAAAATAAATTTCATTGAATACTTTTCTATGCTCTGTATTGGTACATTTGCCATTTGAATTTTGATTTAAAGATAATTAGAAAGACGAACGACGACATCTCAAAGTTAAAAAATAAATTAGAAATCTGGATATTTCAATATTTTATTTTCTTATTATATTTTTATATTAAGAATAAACTTTAGTTGTGTTTCTCTTTTTTTTTTTGCTAAAATGATAAAAATATAATAGGTACTATTTTTTTGGATATAGCAATCTAGCACTTTCCTTACGTATCAAGATGGCAACACTGCTCTTTGATCAATTTGCCGTTTTTTTATTCTCTTATTGGTCTGTGTTTATGTCGTTTACGTTACGCGCCGTTTTTTTCTGTTCGCTCGCTTGGTGTGTCTAGCTTGGCTTGGCGTTTTGATTCAACGAATAATTTAAGAATTCGTAGAAGCCTTCGTGGTATATTACCTTGTAATCTATCATTTCTACCTTTTTGACATCATTATACTGCGAAACCATCATGCCAGCTAGCAACATTGATCTCTACCACATGCAAGACGCTAGAAATAATTTTGACGCCATGCGACCAGCTCCTGTTTGTGCCGATGCCAATCAATATATGGGCCAATGTCAAAACATTCACATATCAACTAATTGCTATTACGGATACCATGATCCCAAACCTGCAGAAAATGAGGGAACGATGACTGATTGTGAAATGATGGAAACTGAAGTATCGCATTCTAATACGGCAGCATCATCCCAGATAAACTCCAGAAAGCGTAGTGCTGACGATGGCGAACAACCTCATAAGAAGCGTTTCAGAGAAGGTAAGAATCTTTTTAATTTTGTTCATGTGGAAGTTTACTGAACGTTTTTCCATAAATTTTTGCTGCAGTTATTACGTGTGACAATCATTCCCTGTTACCGGTATTTAAGTGTACTAGTGAACTTAAATTTAAATGTGTGTATTATTCAGTAAACTTTCATTGGTTGCCAAGATAGGGAATAATATAAAAGTAGGTACTTAGATAACAGGTCAGATTACATAAAAATCACTGTAGGAAGTCATACATTTTTATAAATACTGAAGGGCAAGTTATTCCCACCTCATTTTATTTTACCATGTTTTGTTGCAGTTTCAAATTTGTTTGTAATTAGGATGTCTTTTATTTGCAGTGGATATTTTAAATATTTTTCACTAGCATAAACAAGCCATTTTTTTTTAAATATTGCCTACTTGCTTATTCAAGATATCCTAAGTAATATTTATTTTGTATTCTAGGTTATAATTCTGAAACACTTATCAACATTTTGTATTATGCTATACATAACTTAAGTTAAATATTTTCATGTCAAAGGAGTAGTCTATTCCATACAATTACAACTGATTGCCGCTTGCCTACTGCATATGTTTTGATGTTAGAATTTGATAATAGTTTATATATTCAAAAAGCTAACTGACTGTAAGTAGGAAGTATTTACAAAATAGTACTAAAAAGTCATTACATGGCAATACTTTGTGTGACTAATAACTGTCAATTCATGACTGGAAATGATAACAGCAAAATTGATTATCAATATAAAAATGAAGTACATATTATTTGTTCCTTTACATTTTTTTTTCTTCAATTTTTACATACCCTAAATTTTAAATGTTACAACTTAAATAGGTGGTAATACTAAAATACTATTTTTTTTAAATTCAATTAAATTTTATTATTTCATACAGACAATGTCATTGACAATGTCTTTTTCATGACTCCTCCATCCTTCAATACATCAAGGCTTAATAAGTATAGCAAATGCTTCATTACAATTACTATTGTTTACTTAATTTACGCACTAAATGTAAAGTTAGCTCTCCAATTTTTTATACTGAACTAGGTTTTTTTTCTGATCTATTATAACTAGTATATATTTGTTGCATAAAATATACATATCCTTGTAGTTCCTAGTACTAAGAAGAGAAAAATTATTAATATAAGTTATAAGAACAGTAAAATAACTAACAGAATTATTAAATATGCAATTCATGTAACAAATTAACATACCAAAAGTCATTTCTTGCTTTTGTGCTATCTGTACTTTCTATTTTCATATGACATCACACAAGTGTTATTAAGACAAGGTTTCAGCACATTAACAATTTATGGGACTTACACCATGCAACATAGAGTGAAGGTCATTTTAGTTTTGCTTGCGCTCACTAGTCGTTGGCTGTACATGCAAGTCCAATATTTTGGCTTGGCAAAAATGTGTTAATATAAAAAAAAAATGATATAGTGGCCATCTATAAATTATGTCACATATATTTCATAATTTTCTGACCTGACAATGTCACTTTCTAGTGACAATAGTCAATAATTTTACATTTTTTAACTGCACTTGAAATTAGCTTTGAGGTAGTCTGAATTTTATGCTTTTGCTTTTATATTAAATTTCTAAATGTCACATTACAAGCTTTAAACTCAACCTCACACAATGTCATTGTTGTTGTCCCCTTCTTCCCCGTTATCATGTGGCGTAAGTTATGGGTGACTCCATATATTTGGATTTTTGTACATTGATGATTACAAAAGTTAGGATATACTGTTTTAGAGTAGTTATTTTAAAAATGTTGATTTGGCAATAAATTTACCTATTTATACAAAGAACCAATGTTTCTCATATTTTGAAATCTGTGGATAACTTAAGACATCTTATAAACTAAGAAATTAATTTGGATATGTGTATATAAAAAATTAAAATAATGATTATTGTAAACTAAGGGGTTGAGAAGAAAATGTGTGAAAGCTGTCTAAAACTTAATATTTCAGTATGAACGAAGGGTATATATCACTTAGTATCCAGTCTAAAGTACGAAAAATCGTAACAAATTTATTCTTAATATAAAAAAGTAGACTAAATCTTTCAGATTGCATAATCATGAAATGCAGTACTCAGAAGTTAAAGGGAAGAAAGGTTGAAAGTTAATATATTACTAAATTATTAGAAGTAAGGTCATTAATAATATACTCAAGACTTTCACAACAAACAAACCTTTTCAGCTATCCCTAGAAGTTTGTTTCGCGTTGTAGCCACCAGCGCCTGACCTCTGCACTGAGTGATTACTCTTAATACTCCAACATACATAAACGTTTTAGAAAGCTCTTACACATTTTTGTCATAAACTCTCCATCTTGTTATTTGAATACGGGCGAAGACAGTAAACGAAAATAGATACATTTTTTTTTCTGGTATTGATTAATATACTATCACTGATAACCACATTTTCACACTTATTATTATATTTATAATATTGCTTAAATGAATTATGAAAAAACAATTATTTATGGGGCCGTCCATTAATCACGTGATATTTTTTTGGCATTTTTTAACCTCCCCTCCCCCATAGTGATACATGGTGAGGTTTAAGACTACCCCCCCCCCCCTCCCCATATATCACGTGTATTTGTAGTACTTACAATGAATCTTATTTTTCTAATTGTATTATAGACAATTAAAGAGTACAATAATGGCTAGAGGTAGACAGAAAGATTACAGGACTTGCAGGTTGTTTTTGATTGACAAAAATAATGAAAGGAATGCGAAAACTTTATGAATATTATTATTTAATGAACGTTTGACGAAAAAATAATTTTATTACACTTATTTACGCCGCTTTTCGGTTGAGTATCGCGCGTTTGTCGAAAAAATAAATACACGTGATATGTTACTTCACCCCCCCTCCCCCCTTGTGATATTTCGTGACTTTTTTATGGACCCCTCCCCCCCCTTTCGAGCCTCACGTGATTAATGGACAGCCCCTATGCTCCTTGTCACGTGACCGCAAACAGTTCGTGACGTCACGACCCTAATATAACAGAACTTAGAGAATTCAACCTTATGCATACGTAGAACGATATTCGTTTCAGTGCCGACATGACGCCATGACAGAAAGTTTGAAAATCAAAATTTATTTTTATGTTTTAACTTAGTATATAAATGATATTTTATGAAATGTATTTCTTAGATATATTTTATGTATAAATATATAAAAAGTTGTCTACACCCCTATTTGTAGGTCTTAATAACACCTCGGTACACACACTATTTTTTCTCTGAAAATTTCGCTTAATTCGCTTGCCACGGTCGCCATTGGAAATTGGAAGATTATAGACAGACTGTGCATTCGACGGCGGCCGTAATGGCGTCTAGATTTTCATTGCAAAATAAGTGAGCGTACAAGAAGTGTCAATGATATCATAAGTTAAGATTCTGTTTGCGTGTTGACTTGAGCGCCCTTATGTATTCGAAGCTGACTCAACCTATATTTCAGTTATTTTCTATTTTATGTTAATATATTTATATATTAAGCTCTATTGAATATCTGTACAAATGTACATGTAGCCATCGCAATTTTTATAATTTGTTATGTTGAACACTAAGGGTCAATTTTTGGTAACACAGAGTTTAGACGTCAAATTCGTCACAATCAAAGCTAAATTGCGAGAAGTCGCGCACAATTTTTTATTTTCCTATTAAGTTCTTGAAATATTGATCTCAATATCGTCTCTGTGTCCGTGTAAATTGACCTTAAATTGTTTATAAGTGTAACGGTGTTAGAACAATACCTTTAGCAAATATCATAGAGTTCAATTCCAAATCATTAATTCATACAACATATGTTACAACTAAACTCTATAGGTTACAGGTGACTAATTCATATTTTAATGTATCTAGAATCTACATGATGTCTACTACACCAATGGTCCCTCCATGATGTATTTCGCCCGAATAAAACGCCTGTGCAAATCTGATGGAAGATCCGTCAAGCGCTTCTCGAAAGTATCCGTTGGTACGCGGTGGATAAATATTGAGTGTGCAATGTTGAATGGTTCCGCGGCCAACGACACGCGTCGCATCTTCCGTGATTCGCAGATTTGCACCGACCCTAAGACCCCAAGCACATAACATATTTGAAATGCGCAGACTACGTTCGTTTTCTGCGCCGTAGATGCCGATTTTGCGTTTTTATATAAACTGGCGCGTGCAATGCGATTTTAAATGCGTAAAAACTGTGTGAAACGCGTTCGAAACTTGTTTGATGCACATTCAAAGGTCCAGAGAAGGGATATGCGCTACCAGTAGACGCATGTTTCGCAATCATCCCATGTGCTTAGGTTACAAAGTTACATTCAAATTTAGTTTGAAACGCGTTAACTGCGCGTCCTCTGCGAGTTTAAAATACGCCATGTGCCTGGCGTCTAACACTTGTTTATAGGAGAGTAGAAGTAATTGCATGTGTTCATAATAATTTCTTTATTTCTCGCTTGAAGAAGATACATTGTTCTACTATCAGTATAGAATTTGCACACTACTATTTTCTCGAGTCTGGTGTCTGTAATAGGCTTTCACCCGTGTTACAGATCGCCAGGTTCCCTCAAATTACTTTTACTCAAATTACTCCAGTAATTTGAGTAAAAGTAATATCTTAAGCAAATATATTTAGCCAATATACGAGAATTTGAATGAATGCTGTCAATAGCTAATAATATTAATAGTATACTAATTTTTGGGAGCTAACCCTCATTAAAATTTTCGTCTATTGATTGAAATATTTGTTTACATTATTACTTTTACTCAAGTAATTACTTCTACTCGACTATAGATACGAATGAAACTCGACTGTCATTGACAAAGAGAACGATACTACGCCATTTTTTTTAATTTTCTTTCATAAGCAGTTGTTGACAAAGTTATATATGTAAATTTATTTTCAGCTCTTACCTATAACAAAGTATATTGAAATAACTCCCCTACTCTTTGGGGAGTTACCAATGACCTAGACCATGTCATAAATAAACCAGTTGTAAGATTGTAAACTTCCTAAAATGTTACCATTAACTACTATACTGTTAAAAGTAAATAAACGACAAATAAACACTATTTCCTTAAAAACGATCGTAAGTTTAAAAAATTAACGAATGAATGAATAATTATTTATTGTACATAAACACCCATAATAGGAAAACAATAACTCAAAGAACAAATAGTAGTAGATTGATTCTTTAGTTTGCAAGTTTTTGACAAGCATCCAGTACACAACTGCTATAAAGAATTTTAATGATTATGGTAGCCAATTATACCACAGAGTACGTTTAAAAAACTTGGAACAGCAACAAAACTTCAATTGTGGGCTTCCTACTATATCAAGTAAGCCCCAATGTGACGAAGTTCGACTTTATTTCAGAGGGTATGGTGCCGTCGAGTACAACCTACAATCCCTGTTTACTTCGTCCAACCCACAACAACCCAGATATATCTCGTTGTCTCATGGTTCACATGATCTAATAAAACTTTAAAATGGAATATTACCTAAATAACAAAGTTTCTAATTCAGAAATGTCCATTTCATCTACAGAAGTACAAACTATGAAAAATATCAAACCTGAGACAAACGAGATCAAGAAATTGGATCAAGATACTGAAGATTTATGGGAGGCCCTATATTGGAACACTCATGGCGGCAGAATATTTCAATTGTTACAGTGTTCATGATATCTAATTACATTGTGCAAATAATTGAACATGTGTGATATGTTAGATAAGTGGTGATGTGGGTTTGTGGGACAAAGACCAAATTAATCTAATTAACTCTAAATATATGGTTGTTTAAGTTTTAATATCATATGAGTTTTCTAATAAAAGTACAAATAGGAAAAGGGAGGTTTTTTATTTATAAAAAAATATGTATTTAATTTTTGTCTTTATTCATATAATAAATATTAATTACATAATGTAAATGACACAGTGAAAATTATAGGTTACAAGTTTTACATTCAACAATTTAACACTTGCAGATTTGTCAAATTTCTCTCAAGTATTAATCTGAAAAAGAAGAATACTATTAATTTTTATCCATTTTGTTTGTCTGTTACAGATGGTGTTGAAGATCTAATCATTTATTGCTTTTTTTCAGTGTTCACCCAAACATAGATTCAAGTTTTCGACTTGAAGTTTGAGTGTTTTCATTTATAATTATAAAATATTAAAAATCACCTTTTTGCTTTTCAGATGAATCTCCCAAGAGCAGCCTTGTTGGCACACGGTCAAGCCCGAGCCATTCCGCTTCCGCCTTTAACACAAACATACCAAAAAATTATGTATTGCGTTTTAACCTCAAGTTTTATTTAATTGTAAATACGTGAAATATGTTTGAAATCATAATTGACGTGACTGTGATATCTTTCTACCTGATAGTTAATGTATTATTAAAATGTAATGGATTAACATATGTATCGTTTTATTTTTAGCTAATATTACCCTCATAAATAAAGGTAATTCAGGATTGTGAATAATAAACTAAGCTCGAAGGTGATGGTAATTAAAAATACAATTGATTACTTTGGTTTATTAGTATCAACATTACAAAATCTGCATTTTTATACAAATATGACGTATACTGATTTGGTTAGATAATGTGTAAACTTTATAAAATATATGAATATAGGCGTATACTCATAAGGAGAGAAGAGTTGTATTATTCACATGTGTGCAATAGGGATGACTAGGGGTATGTTCCGATATACACTGCGACCACTGAACAGTATGACGTCAATTTAGTATACTGGAAGCCCGTTCCTTTATAGCTAGTTATATTGGTGATTAGTACAATTGATTAAAACGGAACGCAGTCCAGTATACTGTTAATCCTATTTTTTGGCGCCATTTTCAAATTTGTTAATGCAAGGTGAATATAAATAAAGATTCCCTCTTTTCAAAAGAAAATATAAAATTGTGTATAAAAAAATATTTATCAATTAAATCCATGTTATAATAAACGTAAGTATTTTTTTTTGTTTATTTAGAAACTTATCATTTTCTGATTCTGTTTCGACTGATCACGTGATCAAAAGCACTGCGAGCACCTTACCTCGAAATCTCCAGTGCTCACAGTACAAATATGGCGGCAATTTATGACGTCATAAATTTCCCTAGGGTACTGTAGCAGTGTACTGGCAGTCCATAACGGAACGGATTTTTCAGCAGTAAGACCACTGCGCAGTGCTCGCAGAGTATATCGGAACATACCCTAGGTAAAAAAAAAAATTGTCCGTCAGTCAGATAAAAGAAAAATATGAGATACTAGTATTGATTTTTCTACAATTTAACAAATCTTGGCATAGGCTTTAAAATTGAGGAACGGGAGCTCGCTACGTCACAACAATATAGAAAACGTAAAAGGTGTGACGTCATCTTACATTTGTTGATTATGAGAAAAAATACGTGTTAAATAATCTTATAGACGGACAAACAAACAAAAATTAGTCATCAACCCCATCTTGTATCGCTTGGCCATAACACATTGGTAGCAATTCTGTTGCACAATCTGCATTTTTAATTCTATTTATTCTAATCCTTGGGTTGGTTTTACCTTTTTAAGATTTTTTTCGTAAAAACTTTAATTTAAAGGGAGAACAGAATTGTACCTACCTGTTAAATGGAAAACAAATACAACAAGATATTTAGTATGAAAGAAATCCTGTGAATGCAAGATATTGTTTTCAAATGATTGCGGTAAATGTTTAAAAGAACCCATCTTGGATCAGTGATCCCGGACAGGACGGGGGTGTGCGTTACATTGTTTTTTATTCTTGTTTTGATTTGATATGACTTCAAAGCGTTCTGACTAACGCATAGACGAATAGGTATATTAATTGATCATGAACAATTTTCAAAATGTTTTATTATGGCAAAACTAATTGCGTTAAGAGCTATTATGTATTAAAGTTCACTTCTGCGTAACTCTCAAAATGGCCAAAATTAGCTCATAATCTTAAAAAGGCCAAAACCGAGTCACTCACCTGCCCAATAGTTACCTATATGACATTCTAAATCCCTATAGGTACATTTTATGAATCATAGAAATATGTTAAATATATGGCAAAGTCAATTGGTTAAAACAGCTGTTTATTTGAATGCTGCCATTCAATTGCACGTCTAGTTTTCTAGTTGAATCATTATGACATTTGAACCGTTTCAAAATCGTAATAATCATACTAAAATAATCGCGGTCAAATATATTGCTTACTTTCATTTTCGATAGATGGCTCTTTAACCGTTTGATCCCACGGTATATCTTGTCTGTGTATAATTGTATTAGTATTAAAAATTGAGACTCAGTCGCGAATAATCAGTTTTCTACTATCTTTTTGATCAGTCCTGTATCTACATCAATTACAGATAATAACATAACCAGGAGGTTTTAAGATTTATTTAAAATCACCCGCTACAATAATTTGTTTGTTTTACTTTGAATCCTACCAATAAATTTCGGTATTTCCGATGAATTGACAGTTAATTAGTTGCCTGACCTTTGTTCAGCTATACTGTAAATCGATGAGTTTAGCTATCTGACGGCTGATCGAAAGTCAGCTGTTAATTGAATTGCGCGATTCAATTAAAATGCTAGCCGCTCAATCGCTAAGCTGATTACACCACTTGGCTGCAACATATACATAGTAAAAAACAAAATCGCTTTCCGATCTGTATGCTGAGATCTTTTCACAACGGATTTGAATGCAATTTTCTTCAATATACAGAGCAATTCAAAAATAAGGTTTATATGTAGGTATAATACAGGACCATGCGGGCGAAGCCGCTGCAGGAAGACTAGTATTTATCATAAAAAAATAAGTTTTAAAACTAAAACCCGACTACAGCTAAATCACGCTCTAAAAAGTTTGAAACAAGAAACTTATATATATAGTGATATTTTGAAACGATGACCAAAGGACAGCGTAGTCGTATGCCAGCGATCATAATAAACTGTTGTGATGTATAATAATATTGATAAACGAAACTGTCGCAATAACGACAAATTGATTCCACCTTTTCAGTATATCTCGGAAAAAAAACGAAAAATTACGGTAAATCCGTCAATGCATGGGAAAAACCCTTTAAATCAAATATATATACAAATTGAAACAATGAGAGAAGTAAGAAACTTAAAAAATATTATTGATTTATTAAAATCAGTTGAAAAAATATCTTGCATTCCTTTTTTAAAGTTAAATGTAATAGTGATTTTTATTTTCATTAAAACGATTCATCATACCCATTGAATTATTCAATGAAATCTATGAAAATGTTACAAAGAATGGGAATAATATTAATGTTTTCCACTATTAGCATTTGTACTGTATGTTTTTATGATAAAAATTCGACGCCCGTCCAGTTCGCCCATTTATAAATCTAATAAAGATCCATTAATTACATTTGATTATTATTAGTATAAATGTTTTTAGTATATTTCTGTACATAAAAGGTTAGTCAAATCGATTAGTACAATTGATTAATGGTAAGCATCTACAATAAAGTACGTGTTGCATTACCTCAGTAGGCGTCACTTCTTCAGTATCCACTACGTCAGGCAGTGCCTCTGCAGATTCCGCGTCATCGCGAGCATTGTTATCGATATCGGAATGGCAAGTCTGATCGGCTTCAGCCAAATCACCATTATGCATTTCAGAACAATTGATGAGGTCAACTTTTCCTTCTTGACTGGACCGTGGGCTATTGTCGTTCAATTCAGATGTATCAATATCCATGTGTACATGACCAGGCCACATATCGTAAGGGCATGCGTTAAGTTGATGTAGCTGACTATCACTGGAACTAAATAAGTTTAATGATCCCGCTACGTCTTGTAAAATAGAAGATTCAGATCGCCCTGCCGCCAACTGGCTAGATTCATCAGCTTCATTATGTGATGACATAAAAAGGGGCAGATTTTCTAAGATATCACTTGATACGTCGCAAACTCGTATACCTTCATATTTAGAAAGTAGTTCAAGAATTCTTTTTTTAGCTTGTTGAGAATATCTGCCGTCACTTACAGTGCATAGAATTTGTGATGCCAAAGAATCCAACAACTCCATAGTGAAAAGTTCGTCACTTTTTATTAATAAGAAGTGAACTATTTTATTATCGACTTGTACGGTACTGGAACAGGCGTTTTGAGTTGAATTACACTCATGATAATTGTTAACCTCCTCGGAAGTCGTCATGCCGTCCTCAACTCTAGTTACTTCGTGGACACCGTCACTACCACGATTCTCTAAAATAGAACTGTATTGTGACAGTACACTGCGAATGGATTGTAAAACTTTCTGTCGCAGAGGATCGGAACTGATCAATTGTAATTCTCTAAACAATTGAATCAAGAAATCAGGATGAGACTCGTTGACACCTATCAGTGCAGTTACTTCGGAATAAACGTTTTCTCTTAGCAAATCGAATAACTTTGACGTAGCTTTATCGTGCACATCGCTACTCGTAGAGGCTAAGTTAGGGTTGGGCATTTCTGATGTACTCGCAATATTGATATTGCTAGTTTGCGAATAATCTAAAGTATAATTACGCCTATTCGGCGAATTCTTGGCGGGTAATTTCGACGAAGATTTTTTTTTGCTGTTAGTGGACGAATTTAGATTATTGGAATGCGATTGAATTATTTCAGGAATCGGATTTGTGATGTTTAAATTTCTGAATGGGTTAGATGAGACATCTTGTCGGTTTATATTGACATTAGATACGTTTGCGGAGTTGCCGCTTTCATCAATATTTCTCGAGTGCGAAGGTGCGTTTCCATCACTTTCAGAGTTTTGATTGACGTTCAATACGTCAGGCGCAGATGAGAACGAGAGTGATCGTTCGTAAGCCATATTTCTGCGGATATGTCTATTAGGTATTTCTTCGTTGACTTGTTGAGCTTGTATAACGGAATTGTGTGAGGAACTTGCTGCATTGGTGTTTCTCTTCGGTGTGATCGAGGGTGATGTGGAAGAAGAAGTGTGATGTAGAGTGTTATGTGATCGCTCCACCAAAGGGTGAGGATTATGCGGGAGCCCGACACCTAAATGACCGTCTGCATTTGTCTTGCTGTTAGCCGAGAGAAGGTTTTGACGAGAGTAACTGAAAAGAAAATTCATTAATTAATAAGATTACTTACGCCTTTAGTACACCTAAGAAATCGCATGCGAAAGCGAAACAACAAAAAAACTGCCAGTGGTATGGCAATGTTTTGCATGTGCTCTATCTTATTAGTAGCTCTGCGAAATAGGTGCGCCCTTGTCAGTACTGTCACAGGCAACTGCGAAAAACGTTACACAGACGTAGATGTTTCGCATTGCAGTTTCGCTATCGCAAGCGAATACGTCGGTGTAAAAACGGCGTTAACGCTTGCATTAGCACAGTTGCATTAGCTATGAACAATAGTGACAGAACACAAAATAATTGCGCTCTTATTAATTTTGTAATGTTTTTTAGAATATCACCAGATGTTTATTCGCTCGAATTAGTTTTGCTTTTAAAATTATTATTCACACCATTTGTTAGTACTAAATCAACACACGAATAATAATTAGTATTATAGTAAAAATACAATTTTTACTACTATTTTTACTAAATGATTTAATAGGCAAATCTATAATTATTAGTACTGAAACAAATAATAATAAAAAGAATTTATACATTAAACTTATTTTAAAGATTCCTAAGTTAAGAAAGCTTATTTTGTATGCTATAACCCAAAATTCGTCCTTTTTGGAATTGGATTAATTTTTCGAATGACTTGCATTACTTAATTAATTAAATTGTAATAATTACATTGCACTATCGTTATATATTTTTTTAAACGTTATTGTTAGGTTATAACAGAAAATCATTCTTCGTCAACTTACGCATCAAAAAACTATAGTGATATTAACGCTATACTATCGTCGGAGAATATAATAGGCTAGTTGACACCTCTTTTTTATAAATAAATAGTCCATTAATATCTGAGAAGTAATGTAGAAATAACATCATGTCTGTGATTAATAGTTTCTGCGATACGGTGCTATGTTTATGGAACTGCTGATAGCTGGCCGAAAATGTTCCCTACAAATTCAAGGCACTCAGTGACGTCACATAGTGCAACGAGAGAACGAAAAAATTATGGGCGTCTGGGCAATCTTTTTAATATCTTTGTTATTTATGCGTTTATGTGTATACCTCTTATAATGAAAGTTGTAACGTTTTATATAACCAATTTAATGCCATGTGTATTTTAGTAAATTTTTGTAGTATATATTACCTCCTTTTTTCAAGTTTTTTTAGTTTAATATTTTCCAAAGTGGTATCATAAAATTTATTTTGTTAAATGTTTATAAGTTAAACTGGTTCATATTTTCCGAACATATAACAAAAATAAATGAACATATATAATTTAACTTTCACAATAATGTAGCTAGCAGTAGTCTTTTATAAAAATAATATCTACATAAAAAATGACTATTTGAGTAAGGTGAAGACTTGTCTACTCATTTTCAGACCTAATAATCCCTTATATTTTCAAACCTTATAATGAAATATAAGTTGCAATACTAATAATTAAGTATACTTAATAGGACGTTCATTAAAGGTGTGTAAGCAAAACACAAATCTCACCATTTTATTTATTTACACATATACTATAAAAATCGAAGAACTCATAACATAAATGAATACATAAAATATAATAAATAAATTTTATCTGTATGGAGCTTAATATCTGAAAAGAAATAATAAATAAGTAAATAATTATTTATATAATACTGTGGACATATACAGTTTTGTTATTTTTGATATAGGTCATTGATAAAACTATTCTGTAAAAAATAAATCTAAAAATTTCTTGCAGACCTACATTTAGAAATTACAATATATGTTGATCCTTCGAGCCGGATCAGCAGTTGGGATACATTTCGATGTTCTATCGATTTGACTTTGAAATATTTGCATGAGGCAAAGTAAAATCTTATTTACGTGGTAGAAACATGGTATTATTTGCTTACCTGCGAAAATTATCCCAATAATTATTGGCTCGATTGCCAGGAGGAACTTGGTTATTGAGTGTATGTGACGCTGTTTCTGCACGCCATCTTTCCTCTAACTGAAGATAAAAATAAAAATTCTAATTGGCCACTAGACTGTTTTGGAAAAAGTATTTTAAAACTGTCTTGTGATCATATAAAACTAATTTCCAAAGTGTTACTAAACAAATGAAAAACTGAGGTATTTTTATTAATTAATTTAAATTGTCCCGCATAAGTCATAACTTCATATATTATTAAAAACATGAGCACTGGTAATACTCTCAACAAAGACACAGTAGTCTAGTTTATTGAAATGTGACGTCACACAATTCTAATATGACGCATTTAAGTTCTTGTAATCACAGATTATAAATAGCAAGTTAATTCTATAAAAATAAAATATACTTGCTATGTATTATTAAGCAAATATTACTATATAGTTATTGTTTAAATATAAATTACTATATTCAACACATTTCTTAATTTATTTTTGTGACTGTCAGGTATCCAAATCTACTCAGGATTTACTTTAGTGCCGAGTATAATGTATGATAATAATAATAGTAATAATGATTTATTGAAATCGTATTAGCCTATACTCCATTCATTATAGCATTAGACAGAAGTTAAATAAGGTTCTTTTTATGGTATACTTTGTGAAATAATATTTAAAATCATATTACTTTTAAGACTGACGGCTTATTTGTACCAGCTGCTATACTTAACAGTTGTCGTTTAAGCTATCTGTTAAACAAAATTATGAGTATTTGACTAACTTAAAAGATTGAATAATTAATAATAATTAAACAAATGCATTTTTGTATTATTGTTGTTTTCTTATAGTTTTGTTTTAGTTGTTATCTTTTTCTAAGTAAAGTTTTGCTAAATATGGACGATTTCGGTGCAGGTCCGAATGGCCTATAACAATTACCTCTGATATTTCAGGAAGTTTTTCCATTATCTAATAATATCTGAATAAATGTTATAAAAGTAATAATAAAAATTTCATTTTGTTTACCTTTCTTTCCTGGGCATAGATATAACTAAATTCTATTCTAATTATACACTAACAATTAGAATTTATCAAAACAAAAGATAGATAGTTATAGTTCCATATTGGCTTGGGAGTAAAAGATGAATTTACAAAGTTCTAGCCTCATCGCAAAAGAAATAACCTAACGTTCAAAGTTTCAACAAAACTATTATACATATTTTTAAAATTTATCTTGAAAATAAAATGTTCTGCACTGCTGCTTCTGTGACCCTCTTTTTTCTAATGTTATAATGAATGGAGTATAGTTAAACAAAAATGCTAAACATACTTATAGAGAAAATATTGTGCCTGGACTAGGTTAACATAGAGACATAGAGATGTCAGGCTAAAAAAAGGACTTATTCAATTAATTAACGATAAACTATCAGTATGCATAAAATATTTATAAAGTATTACATAATAATTAAATAAAGACATTGTAAATCGTTCCTTATTGAAGTTGAACGTTCACAGAGAGCAGTACTAAAGGTTACACTTTCCTTACCTTATAGGCATCCTATGATTGACAAATACAAAAAAGCAGAAGTTTTAAGCGTACGCCAATCCTACATTTTGAAATGTGTAACTCGCTACCACAAGACAGCGCGTTCTTTAAATATAAAAAAAGACATAATTTCTTTAAATTACTGCTAGTTATAAATATTTTTGCCAAACGCAATTATGATTTCCAAGACAGGGGTCTTTATAATAAATTCAAAATTAAAAGCTATATTAATTTATTTTCTTGTTCTCTTGTACTAAATTTCTTAGTCTGCATAAGCTAAAATGTAATAATACTTAGAGAGCATTGACTCCTGACATACAGGGCAACCTAATATGGGAGACGCAGTAAATTGATTTGTTACACTATGTAATTCTATAAATAATTGTATATTCTATAAATATTATATCTGTGACTAAAGTAAACAAAGTATGTGGGTATACTGACGTGTGCTAGCTGTGCTCGGAGCTGATGTAGATCGCGCTGGTGCAGGGCCAGTTGTTGCCAGCACCAAGCCCCCCACGCTGCGCAGCCACATGCACACGCGCCCCCACATGCCCCCACCATTCCTAAATACCAAGGTGATCCAAATATGTTAATGGATACTTTCACTTTACTACTCGTACGAATTAACATGGTACCTGATGACCTATTTTATTTCTCCAAAAACAAAATTTCGTATATAATGATTTTTTTTTGACTCCTAAGATTTTTTCGGAGTTAGAAACTGACACAGCTTCTGATACACAAAATCGTAATCGCGGATTTTTTCTAAAGTATGAGGATTCCAAATTCGTTCTAGAACAAATAGAGTAGATCTTAGTAAAAAAAGGAAAAATAATGTAAGAATGGGTGTAGATAAATCACGTATTAGGTCAGGTTAGGTCGCATCTCGCAGAAGGAGCCTGCAAAGGACCGAAACGGCGCGGGAAGTGGTCTTAGGACTGTCCCTATGCATCGTCTTCATGGAGAGGGACATCGTTAGGTTTAAGTGGGAATGCCCCTGCTTTTTAACTTTCCCTCCTTATGGGGGGCGGGTCCGCAAGGGAGAGTCCCATATAACCTGCCGATTTCGCGCTGGGGACAGCGGGTTTGCATTAATGCATTTCCTTGGTTTGTTTTAGTTCTAATGCTATATTCCTTGTTACATTCTAATGCTATATAGAGATGCCTTTCTTTTTATCGTGCTAATACAAAAACGCACAATAACGTATCCAGTCTACATTGTGACCAGGCATTTGGAACGACCACAATCATACGTTTACATAAATTGCTGTTTTTTAGCTTTCGATTTCTAATTGCTAAGATAATAAGCATTAAAGTTGAGGAGTGGGGGCTCGCTATGACACAACTATGTGGAAAATATACAAAGGTGTGAGTGACATCGTGCGTCATTTCAACTCATTGAGTAGTTGTAATTTTATATTTAAAAAGTTTTCCAGTAATCTGCGTGACGGGAAAATAAAAAATAGTCATCATACCTATTTCACATTAATTAACGGAGCCTTTTGAATTGTATACACTTAAAAAAATAATTTGGTTACCGAATTTCATAGAGGTTTAAAAGTGGGTATCATATAACTTTTTCACTATCCGATATAGATGTGACTCTTACCATAAGGCATCATCATGTTGAATGGCAAAGATGGCGGAAAGGACATCTGAGGCGTACCAAGTAGTCTGTCCATGGTTTGCGAATGAGTGTTTTGCGTGAACTGATTCGCGCGCATGTCCTGAAAAATGTTCATAATGAGACATATGTTTCAATGACCACATGCAACTCGACCCTTTTAGGCTGCAAACTGGACGCAAATGCGGTCGCCATCGCCATCGCTAGAGCGATAGAAATGCTTAAGTTTTTATAAAAAAGTTCAACAACAAGCGTCGCACGCCAGATGAGAGGTGAATACGCAACATGAGTCATTGTTTATTATCGTCTACTGCTGTTGTAACTAATTTTAAAACGTTTGATTTTAAACGTTTTAAAACTTACAATTAATAAATAAGTAATTTAATATAGACATTTAATGCTTGGAAACTAATATTAAACATGTAAATAAAGTGTACTTTATTTTAATTATGCCGCGCGTGCGCGCTGACGTTTTGCGATTTGCTCTGTGGTACAGACAAAATATAGGTTTACGTTTTGAAGTGGCAAATCCGCGCCCCGCTACGTTGCCGCTCATAATAATTTGTACGTGTACTTCTGTACTTACATACCTCTTAACTACAAATTCAAAGATGATTTTGAATTCGGATGGAAAAAATATATAGATGTCTCAATCACATGTCGAAATATGCTATTTTTCTGTATTTTATTAAAAATCAGATAATTTCTATTGAGATAAAGTAATTAAAGTTCGTTTCTCTGTATATTATTTAATACTGTTCAGTTATCAAATTAAAAGATCTGAATTTTGTAATATTAACAGTATGAAAAACACAATTTTTTATATTTTTTACATATTTTCATTTTATTTTATTTGAATAAATGATTCACGAACGCCACGTTTTAACTAATTTTTTTCAAACGTAATATTCAAAACGCGGAATAGATCACACGCTGTTGGTAATGAAAATCTATCATTTTTCCACCTCAAGAAATAAACAATAATGTATTATAGATCCCTACTGTTTACTTGGTACTTTGGTCTTTGCATTTCTGACGTTTGAAGTACCTATAGGCAATAACAATAATATAGGCAATAATAACCAGTGGTCGGAATTAGGTAGAGTTATTCATGTACTTACACTGATTTCATACAGCGAAAGAATAAAGTGGATATGCCTCAAATCCCGAGATTAATTTTAAAGAGCAGAAAAATCCCGTGATTTTTTAAATAAAAAGTTATTTACTTTTACACAATTTAAACTACTGCACGCACGACGTTGCCCAACTTACATCAATGAAAGAAAGAAATAAAGAAAGAAGAAATAAAGAAATCCCGGGAAGGTCCACATTAATATCAACATTTCGATGCAAGTACATAAATAACTCTATCTAATTCCGACCTCTGATAATAACATAACATATAATAGAATTGTTTTTACCTGATTGCATTTTGGACCGTTCCAAACCGGAGATGGCATCTGCTGATAAGGCATATTGACAGGATTTTCAACTGTAAGAAAAAGTAACTATTTCAAATTGAGATATCCTATAAAAATAAATAATAATGAAAACCTGGTAAAGTTGTTACCGTGTTGTGTAGTAGGTTGAACCATATTGACGTTGGAAATCTCGCCTCTAGGCTCATGTCGTACATTTTGATTTGGATTGCTCGATTGAGGCATCTGAAATTATGATCTTTTTTTAATTTTAATATTCGTTAAAAGTTTTATTGCCAATGTAATTAAATAAAAATAATAAACATTAATAAAAAAAGAAATATTAACATTTACAATGTCGTCGGTGTGACGATCTTGAGGCTGTCTTCTTCGAATTCGATTTCTCTGATTAGATTTATTTCTAGAAGCGCTGAAACAAGAGAATAATTATTTTATAACAAATATTTTGTAACAATGATAAGTAAATTATATAATTGATTTAAAGTATTTATTTAAACACTGGGATAATACTAACAACCTTTCAAGGATACAATTATTTATTAATTTATAATTACAAACAGTTTTTCCAATAAATACCTGTCACTATCGCTAGCGTATGTGCTTCCCAAATGCGTCGGAACTGTATTTACCGACCTAGCACTTATAGAGTTATCGCCACTGCCACCCTGTTAAAAAAGTGAAATTAATAATTTGATCTACTTATAAAATGAAATTTCGCTCCCATTTATAAGTAAATTTAATATGTATCTAACATACCCTGAAGGTTTCATTTTCTCTAGAGTTTTGTGAGTCAATCAGTACTGGCTCTGATCGTGAATCTGGTTCTTCCTGTTCACTGAAAGGTTTTTTATAATCTCAATCGTACATCATCAAATTTTATTTTATTTATTTCTATAAAAATATACACAGACATTTTACTTGAACACCATAGTTGAATCATTTTAGTATAAATTATATAAGATAAAAATGTCTGCCATTAGACAGATTATTATTATAGATTGTCACTAGAAATTATTAAATTTCTAATCACCACGATTCTGCAATAAAATACCCACCGATTGCGAGTCGGACCCGCGCACGTATAGTTCCGTATCAAAAACAAGCAACAAGAGCCCCTTCAATATTTATTTTATTTCGTTTTTTAATATTTGTTGTTATAGCAGCAACAGAAATACATAATCTGTGAAAATCTCAACTGTCAAACTATAACGGTTCATGACATACAATCTGGTGACAGACGGACAGACAGAGACAGCGAAGTCTTCGTAATAGGGTTCCCGTTTTACGGAACCGTAAAAACGTGTATTGTATGTTGACTTATTTACCTGTTGTAAGATCTGTTTGCTACTGAGCCTGTTCTAGAATCGGGCTTCTGTTGTTCAGCTTCTGATTCGGTGCTCAGAACTTTCTGTAAAAATTTGAAAAGTACTGATTTAAAAAGGCAATTGGCTACTTTACTGTTTGGGAAAGTATTTTGAAAATAAGAATAATAAAAAACCATCAGAGTTATTTTTCTCCAAAGTGTTATTTAAATAAAGCAAATACATATTTTATTCATTATTTAAAAATTGTTCCGCGATCACAATCAGTCACGTGACATTGCAAGTTGTGACGTTCCATTTTTATAAACACAAGTATTGGTTGCAAGAGGTAAACGTTTATTTAATTGAAATGTGACGTCAGACGATACTTCGTCATGCCCATCTGAGTCTCAGTTGTTGTGATCAACAGATTATAGATCGTAAGTTAATCTCGCAAAAATAAAATATATTTGTAATCTATTTTAAAACAATAAATACTTAATTAGTTATTTTTTAGATATACCGTATCCATTTTATGTGAGGGACTTACCTCTTTGTTAAGCAAAGCCTCGAGCTCTCTTTGCTTATCAGCGAGTAGAGCGCGCAGCTGCATCTGTCTACGTTCAGCTGGACCTGGAGCCCCGCTAGGACCAGCGCGTACTTCTTCATTAACTTTCTTTTGTTTACGAGCTACTTCTGTGATAAAGAAAACATTCAACATTACGTCGTTTTAAATTTTCACGGTAATTAACATTAGAACGATCGCTAAAAACCGGATTGTTACCATGTAACTTATATTTTATGAGTTTCCGATATTTCGGCGCTATTGCTAGCGCCATGATCACAGAGTAACCGAAGTTTATGCGGATGCGGTTGGAATCCAGTGGTTCATATTTGTCAAAACCAGAGAATAAATTTAAAAAAAACGATCGTTTTGTGATCGAATACAGTGAGCGTGGTGTGTCGAGAACAGGTGCAAGTTAGTGGTGACAAAGTCAACAGTGGTAGAACGGAATATCCGTAAATAATATTCATCCGCATAAACTTCAATTAGCCCGGAATCATGGCGCTTGCAAAAGCGTCGAAATATCGGGAACTCATAAATTATAAGTTACATGGTAACAATTCCGTTTTAAGTAATAATTCTCACATTCAATAAAATATATATATTTGATTGAATATAGATTTCATTCAAATAGGACATAAATAACCTTTATTGGAGATCATGTCTTTTATGCGTGCTCGTTCACCCATTATTTTCTCTGTCTCCATGCGCAGCTCTTGAGCTAGCTCTTGCAAAGAAGCTATGTTTGCTTCATGACCTACAAGCAAATTGTCTGTAAATAACGATAAAACAGCAGTGATATTTAAAAGATGCATTAAAAACATATTCTTAAAAAAGGCTGATCTGAAAGCTGAAAGTCCTATACATATGTCGGTCTTACCTTGTTGCTGATGTTGTTGTTGGAGTTGTTGTTGCTGCAGTTGCTGGTGTTGTTGTTGGAGTTGTTGTTGTTGTAGTTGCTGTTGTTGAATTTGCTGCTGGTGTTGAATTTGATGTTGTTGTTGTTGGATTTGTTGTTGTTGAATCTGTTGCTGCTGTTGTTGAATCTGTTGCGAGTGTTGCTCGTTAGTGAACTTGTGGCGTTGCGGTAACGAGTTCCGTACGCGGCACATGCTACCTTCATTTGACCAACCACCAGCACTTCCACCGCCTTCCGATTTGCTGCAACACAGTATATAAGTCAATATATAATAATCATCAGAACTCAAATTAAGTAGCAAATGCTTTTGTATTACGGAAATTCGAAAAAATAAAGCAGTGTTTGGAATTTAACAATATTTTCCGAAAAAAACGCCAAATTCTGTCATGGCGTTTTTTCATTAGCTTAAGCAATATTATAAATGTAATAAGCATAAAAGTGTAATTATTGGTAATAATATATTAAAGACTACCAGAAAAAATACTAAGTATTTATTTTCATTTACTGTCTACAAACGTATTATCATTGGTAATTATCGTGATATTTATCTTGATAATTATAAGCACTACATAAACTCCTTTTGAACTTTAGGATTTGTTATTAAAGGGAATCATCTTTACACAACTATCAAATATATTTCTAATGATAGAGAAAATTGTCTAGGATGTACCTAAAAAAAATTAAAAGCCCCCTTTTTACTAAATAATATTTTATATATTTTCATTTCATTTTTTGTTCAATGTGATTTCACAATGATTTTATTTGTTTGGTTTGCTTAATTTTTATAATTTAAAACAGCAAGAATAGAAAGATGTTGCCAGTAACTACGGATTATTATCAGATATTTATCCAAAAAATATTTTCTTGATAATTACAAACCCTGGAACAAAGGTACCACAACTACCCACACGCGTATCAATATACAAAAGTTCACTTTCCATATCGACTCCTTTGAGGTTCGAGCTTAAGTTGTTCAACTAAATGTACCCATTCTGGTACATATATATTTGCAAACATAATTCTTCCACTTACTTGTCATGAATGTTAGAATGTCCTGGAATTGAGAACGTCTCATCATGAATACCAGACAAATGTTCTGCCTCGTAGTTCTCTACAGATCTCATGAGATCTGAAACATAAAACAATGTGAAATTATGTTGTTTACATATCAACTGATAAGAAAATCAGAATAAGACGAGAAATAATTCACCCTTCGTCTTTTGTAGTGCAGTCTTGATAGCTTTTATCTCCATCAGTTTAAAAGGATCATCATTTTTTATATTTCCACTTGGAGGTTTGTTACCTATAAAATATATTTTTGATTTGTAGAATTTGTCAATAAAATTTCTCTTTAATATTATTTAAGTTACCAATAAAATTGATTTAAATACTTATAATACGGGTATTAGACACAATCGATTTTACACAATTGAAATTAAGAAACACCCTAATAGATTTAATCGGGAAGACGGATATAAATTGTCTCATGTGTGGAATCCAGTATTTGCCAAAACGCAACCTCTTATTTCGCAATCGGTATATCTTCAGAATACGGCTCATGTGAGGAATAGGGGCGTTAGTGTTGTTTGTGACGGTAGTTGGATGAAAAATCCGAGGGTGATGATTCTTCCTCGTAGGCAGAGGCGTAAACGACTTACTGCTCTAGTCTCATCGTGACCACGGCCGAAACGTCGGCGCAGATCAGTGTAAAATCGCGTCTAATACACGGTATTATAAGTACTTAATAATGCAACGCAATAGTTTAAAAATAAAAATTTATTTAATATTCACATTTGCGAGTAGGTTCTTCATCTACACTATCTTCCCCAGAACTAGAATAGGTATTGTGTGATGCCTCTATGCACGTCGCCATTTGTAATTTTTGGAACTCTGATACCTAATAATGAAAATAATGTGTGGAGAAATAGTAAATTATTAGAAATTGCAAATTATTGAGGTGAAAAATTAAAAGAAACTGCACTGTAATTACCAAGTTCTCCATATGTTGTTTTTTCATTTGTAGCTCGCGTAATTTTAATTGAAGCATGCGCCCGCGTTCCCCTAATAATCCCTCGTCATCCTCGCCTTCGCTATCCCGCACGCCATTTGCGGTTTCCTGGCACAAATATAGTTTGAAATATTCACCGTCTTTGAAAAGTTTCTGCCCGGTACAAATGGGCAAGATGGCCGCCACTTCAAAATGACGGATTACACATTAAAAGTCTAACCTGAACAGTGTTCTTTAAATTAACCCATATATGCCCCGGGATTCGAAAACAAACGATGCCTCTCTATGCCTAAAACTACTTCCCATGAAATACAAATTTAAGATTTTTTGTGATTTTTTAGAATCATTATCCGATAAAATAGGTGTTTTGGAGAGGATGAAACCAAGTCACAACTTGCTGATTTGCTACCTAAGATAAAGTTCATTATAATAACATATGGGTAAGTAAGATTTTCCGAGTGAAATGTAGAAATAAATGAATTTCAACAAAAAATATTTTATTTTCGTTTTTAATCAATAATTATATATAACCAAATAAATATTGTAGTTAAATAACATAGATGGGTTAAACAATTTATTTGTACCTCAGTAGTGACAACATTTGCGTCACGGTGTGCAAACCGTTCGTCTTGACTATGACCGTGCCCATGGTCATTGTCCAAGTTGTCAGACAAATTTTGTTGGCCGTGTAAAGTTTCAGTAGAATGTGGCAGTGTCGTAGCCACCCCAATCTGGTTCGCAGCGTACATTCGGTTCGGATGATGGAAATTCGCACTAAACGTTTGATTCTAGAATACATCAAGTAAATGATAGATTACTTTGTTCAAATTATTTTATAGGAAGAAACCCCGACTTTGATTAAGGACTGAACTTTCTGATGGACCTAAGTTCGATCCCTGTCAGGTGAATGCAGAAAATTAACTATTCTATATTGTCTTTAATTTGGATGTTGTGTTAGGTAACACAAACAAATGCTTTAACTACTTAATTTGAGATCTTAGCAAATGTTATCTATTCATTATTTGTACGTAGTATTTTCCATTATGTACAGTGCATGCTGCATAATGGACATCATTCAAATTACCTGCAAATTAGCAAAGTTGTCATGTGATGTTGAAGGTTGTATTCCCTGAGACTGTCTGTCCCTAGTCAATTCTTCTAATTGTTGCTTTGCTTCTTCCTATACAATATGAAACGCGAGAATGTTATTATTATAATTTAGATAATTAACATCTAAAAGTAGATCTTTGGTCAATTTATTGACCTCTATAGCAATGACTCATACGGCGATATCATGGATTCGATTCCTCATCAAGATATTATAGGAAAATGTACTTTTTTAAATTATCTCGGGTTTGGATGCTGTAATCTGCTGCTACTTTAGGTTAAATTGAACAATGTGTGTGATGTTGTCAAATAAAGATTACTCACTTGATATTTGAGAAGCCTCTTCTCTTGCTGTTTCAGTGCAGCCATACGCATTTGAGATAATTCTACTTTAGTTTTATATTCATTAGGCCAAAGCTCGTTATCACTATAAATAGATCCGTTGCTCTGTACTGACACAGGTCTCGTCACTAGATCCTGTTGGAAATCGAATGATAGAAGTGAAAATGCATTTTTTTTCATACATTACAAAGATTTACGCCTGCTGCCCCGAGATTCTGTTATAATCAAAACCCTCATTCGAATTCAACTCAAAAAGCGGCATCCGCTCAATTACGTTTCGTGGCAAAAGAGAAGTGAGTTTCGAAATGACATAGGAATAGAATATCCGAGACACGTATAGTCAATCAATTTTGTTTTGTATTCTTATAGAAAAAATGGAATCAATAGAATTTCTTCACTTAATGACGTGATTCGGACGTATTAGAATTCGGGTTTGAATTTTTACAGTATCGCAGGGCTGGACTGATAATACAATATTTAAATGTGAGTTTTAATGTCGATGACTGTAGTCCACGTATTTCCTACCCTTCTTGCGCTGTTGTTGGAAATAATGTAGTGAAAAAGGGATAAAAAAGCTCACATTTCAATGCGTTACGTCGACGTAGTGAATGAACTCAATACACAGTAAAATCGATAATAAAAAATAGTTCCGTTCGTTTGTAGGTCATATTAAAAAATAATTTAAGCATTGAAATATCTTTTTATAATAGTATGGCACAACAAAATATACTTGTTAGTGTTTTGATTATAACTTATGTTAGTGATGCAGTTTTGGAAGTATGTTTTGACGAAATAAGATGTTAAAACAATCACATACACACAATTGCACAACTAAGCTTTATATAAGTTTTCTTATAAAAGTTCGACAAAAAAAATTAGAGATGGTTATGTTTTTTCTAAATCATGCTATGATTTGCTCAATTTAGGAAGTTCACACTTTAACAGCACACATCAATAGACAGAAACCTGGTCTGGAACTCGATTGGAACTTTGATTTTTTATTTCCTCAATAAGTGCTACTTTTTCAACACAAGACAGTATGTTTTTCCGTAAAATATCGTTTAAATGCTTATCATCTTTTTTGATGGGTGGTTCATTACAAGGCATTGAATCAATTTCTAATATTTCAACTTTACTGTCAGAATCTACTTGCGATTCATTTTCCATTAAACTATTTGTGTTTTGTGGAGAAGCTTCTGGTGTCTCTTCTACAATTTGAGCAGTTGTAACCGGATTAATATCAGATTCTTCATAACTTTTGAAATTTTGTAAAGTTTTGTTTATTTGTTCATTTTCTACATTTGTTACTTTCTTAAGGCTGTTATGTGCAGAAATGTTATTATTAATATTTTTGGCATTGCCAGTGTTTTCATTCAACGAGGTAGTTTCAGAAGAACTTTCAACATTTTCAGCTACATTTGGATTACTTGATTCTACTTGAGCAACTTGAATTTCATCTGAATCGGCAGCTGGAACTTCTTCATTTTCAGGCTTCATTTTCCCTAACATAGCTACTAATTTAGTTTCACTTTCTTTTAATTTCATTACCATCTCTACAAGTTCATCATATTCTTCTTTAGTGTGCTCAATAAAAGCCTAAATTAAAAATTGATCATGTCTAAGTAAGTATAATAAAGTGTATAAATTATATCAAATAAATACAACACAGATGTTGTTCACACATAATAATTTTAAACGAACCTCATCTTCAGAATTTCGCATAGTATCGACAAGGGATGACGTCACTCTTATGTATTCTCGAATTTGCCCAAGCCGACGTTCTACTGCGGCGGCATCAGGGCATGCTGCAACTATGGCTTCGCCCAATGCTCGTGCCGACTCCCTATGTATCTTGTATAAACAAGAAGCAATAAAAAGGAATAAATATACTGCTAAACAAAAAAATTAATATGATATCAATAAAGACACTTACAGAGTTACTGTCATTTAGATTGTTAAAACTGCCTTGGCATTGATCATACATATTGTTCACTAAATTGACAGTTTTATTCGCAGTTCGAGAATTGGTAATTGGTGGTGTAGTATTATTATTACTTGCAATATTGTTGGTTTCAAAATTGTTGCGAGCTGAATTCAAATTCCTTGATAAATTATTTCTATTTGGATTTGGAGTCTGAAAAATAGAATTAATTTCAAATATTAGCATAATAGCAGCACCAGTATTATTGATTATTCCACTTGATTAATAAAGACATTGCCATCAACAAATAAAGGGTATTCTGAAAAATAAGGTCTCTAAAATTGGTGAATGTCATCCAAAGCTATACAGTTTTTACCATTTTATGAATTTTAAAACATAAAGAACTTATGTAGTGTGACAGTTATAAGATTGACAGAATATCCTGATGATCACAAAAGTTATAATCTTCATTGCTTCAAAGAGGTCAACAGCGTATGCATTTTTGCATTCATGTGATTATAACATCCTAAAAATAAGCTATCTAAACTAGCAAAATTATACAAAATAAGTACTTACATTGAATGGCTGTGTTATATTTCCAGTAACAGCATTGGGTGTAGTTGGATTGACTATCATCACAGCAGCTGCAGCATGATTTGAATGAGGAATTAATCCTGCAAGTTTTAATAATTAAATTTTACTACTATTATGCTTAATTTTTAAACGCAGCGCGCAATGCTAACGGGTAGCGGAGGGAGCGGAGGGGCCGAGTCTCCCCAGGCCTCTTGTACTGCCTGCTTGGGGGGAGGGGTGTAACGCAATATCAAGTTTCTGCCCCAGTTGAAAAAAGATGTAGGTCCGAGCCTGATGCCGAAATTGAATCAGTTTTCTAATTATAACAAAAATATGCTTTTCATCAGATATCATCTAAATATTTTGATGTCCTGTTTATATCAGATAAAAAAAAAAACAAACATTTCTATGTTTAAGGAGTATTAAGAATAATATCCTTTTTGTACATAAATTATATTATATATACTTTTTTATATCTTTACATAAATATACTCTTTGTAGATTTTGTAATAAGTTTTGAAGTTCTATAGTCAGTAAAGATATCTATACTAATATTATAAAGAGAAAAGAATTGATTGTCTGTTTGTAGCAAATAGGCTCCGAAACTACTGGATCGATTTTAAAATTTAGATCATATGCAGTGAACATAGGCTATATTTTATTTCAAAAAACAATAAATAAAGGGAATGAAAAGTTGCCATAGTTACTACTGTTTATTATTCAATTTGACATTATAATTATATCTAAGTCATGATATGAATTCATATCTAAATAAGTCGTTCCCTATGGACCACGAGAGTTAAGCCACTGGTGGAAAGCTAGTCTTATATACTTTACTCTTTGGTTGTTTTGCACCCGATCCTTGTATTACATCTGCTTTCCTTAAGTTTCCCTATTTCTATGGAGCTACTAATAATATATATACTTTTAAAAATAGGTATCTCCACAGATTTCTCTGTGGTTACGTGCAAATAAATAAAAATTTCAGGACTTTTGTTGCAAATATAATTTCTTTTATATAGATATTTAATATTTTAGTGAAACCTATACAAAATATTTATATAAGTATCACTAAAAATAATGAAATAAAAACTTTTTAAAAAATAAACCAAATTCAAATAAAAGAAAAAAATACTAATAATACTTATCATTAAAGCAGTTAAATTTTTCAAGAAATATTGAGGTCAGGTGGGTAACATTCAATAAACTACAGAAAACCTCAGCCTGAGTACAATGGTTCTTGAAAAATTTTACCACTTTTATGATAAGTATTTTTTTAATTTGAACTTTTTTTTTTTAATATCATAAAAGAAAATATTTATCCTATATATTAGCTTTGATACACTTTTTTATCATAATAATTAATTAAATATTTTACCATTTTGCATTTGATGTGCATAAGGATGTAATGAGTGTCCTGTGATAGAAGATCCGCTGGTATCGTCGTGGTGATCACTGGCAATGTTCTCACGATTTTGCACATTCAGAGGCAATGCTCTTGGCTGAGGCCTCACAGGCACGAATCTTCCAAATCCACTTTCAAAAGTTACGGAATTATCTAAAATACACAAATATTTATATTATAAATAATTAAACTATGTAAAACCATAATTTAACAACAATAGTAGTTTATGGAAATAATTATAAAAAATTGTTATGGTATAGCAACACTTATGCGAAGCCAGTTTTGATTTACTTTATATATAAAAATATCATGAGCAAAAGATGTGATTTTGTTTATTTCAAGGACATCTTTCTAAGAGCTATATCTATATATAAAATCAAATCTGGCATATCAGTTTCAATATAATTTTCAAATTGAGAACTTTCTCTTATTTATAAAATCAATCAAAAAGGATAAATTACAAATACTCATTAATATACTTTAAACAATTAATGTCTTGCTCTGTATGATATCTGCTATATGTAGTGCATGCATATGCAATAACTTATGTTCAAATTGTCAGGTTGAAGATGATTAAATTATTAATATATAACAACAACAGAGATTACAAAAAAAAATCCTAATCAGTAAAAGTATTGTTCAATCTTTTAGTAAGAATCTATAAATTTAGTAGATGCCATAAATATCACTTACCCAAATCGGTCAACTCGTGATCTGATGTGTTATTTGATGGTTTTCTAGATTTATTGTAATTAGGCCTTGAATTATATTCTGAAACTGGCACCCAATCCAGGGAAGTCTAAAACCAATGCAGTTTCTGAATAAGCTCTTAATGAAATGATGTCTTCTTTTTGACAGAACAAGAACACTTCTATTGCTTTACAATTCTATGAAACACACCTTGTTTATACTAAATTTAGAGAAACAACCTCCCATATGGAAAGTATAAAATAAACAAAGAATTTTAAGTATCCAAATACATATGTTGAAATTATTAAAATATATATTGGGGGAAAGATATGGTATGTAGATCAGAACTATCTATCTTTAAATAACAAACTTGGCAGATAGCCAAATTTAAGTTTTCTCTTCTGTACTACTTCTTAAAATAGATTGAATACCTACTTACAATATATGTAACAAATTTTGACAAGAGAACAAGAATATAAACAATGCTTAAGAATGACATATTACTGTCTAGTAAATAAATATTTAAAGATATGTAATACAAAAGTATTATACATACCGAGACAAAATATTTTTAACATATTTTCAAAGAATATTTTTTGTAATTTTATTTTGAACTTTTCAATCATAAAATAACTAAACAAAAAAAAACAGAATAATGGAGTAAAAAAAAAATCATTGATATATATTGATTGTACCAAAATTCAAAGAAATAAAAATGTAGATAAAGTTCTTTGGACAAGAGCATACAAAATCTGTTTCAGGACCTTCTTAGTTTTCAAAATAGGTAGACAGATGCTTCTAATTTATGGTTACTTTAGAAAGTGTTGGTATAATATTTCAGAGATTTTTAGACAAAAGTATATCCTAATAAATTGTATGTTACTGGTGAGTTTATTTACCTTGAATAGGATATAGTTTATTTAGTAGAAATGAAATCTTACCGACACCAAATTGCTTGTCATGTCTCTTCTTGTAGGAGTTACAGCTTCCTGGGGTACATTGCAGTTATTTCTGGCCTTTGTTTTAGGTATAGTACCTGTATGATTTGGATGTCTGTCGTTATTTACTGGAGCCATAACATGAAACTTTGTAAAATGTACAAATAATCGGAAAATTAAAACATGTATTCTAATTCAAAATAAAGCAATTGTTTGGTAGCATTGTCGTAGTAATAGTTTAATATTTTTTTTTATATTTAATTGGAAATCATAAAAATATTATTAATCGCAATTCTCCCTTTTTACTAATTTATGGTTCACTCGTCGCACAATACAATCCAGAATTTATTTGACAATTAAACATTATTCCAAAGAGTAGTATAATATTTGCCAGTACATACACTACAAAGTCTGTGGCATTAGAGAAGATTGAATACAGGTCTGTGGGGTCCAATCTAGCAATAAAAAGTTATCCACATGGTTGCAAACCTGAGTTCCCGATCAAGGTGACCTTGATAGTTGGCAACCATATAGACCTAATATAACGAGGAAGTGTTTAAAAAAACGAAAGCACTAAAAAGCACCTCCACTAGATGGCGACTCTAGCAAAAGTTGATTTTTAGGGTTGTCAAGAAGAAATTAAAATAGTATTGTAACGACATCTAGTTTGATATCGGGAACAAATTTTTTATTTAAACACTTCCTCATTTATTCTTCTCCCTTTATGGTTGGCTTTCTTTAAAACTTCCTCGTCCAACAAATATAAAATGTATCCTGAGTATGGAGAAACCCTGTCTATACAAAACTTTATCTAAATTCATATAATAATCTTTAATTTCTATTTAATTTTGTTTGTATTACCTTAAATAATGTAATCAGTAGTCATACGATGAGTTGTACAAACGTTCATTAATGTTTAAAGATACCTTTAAGCTCTAATAAATGTCAAATATAGACAACTGGCTGATACTGAGAGTCTAGATTTACTTTTGTTTTACTTATTACCCCAAATAAAAAAAACAACATATTTCTGTTTTTGTCTCTTCACGTGTAAATACCACCAACGTGACATTGGTTGAATTGTGTAAATACAAAAGAACTTACTCTATGAAATGTTACCGCTTGTTTTCAAATTAAAAATAAAATATTAGTTCATTTACTTTATGATTTTGACACATTGGAGTTGCTCACTTCTTTTGTATCTTACGATTTTATGTTGTTAGGTGAGTTAGTGAATAGGTCTGCTGGACATAGTGAAACATAGAGTAACATCCTATTAATATTATAAAGGCGAAAGTTTGTAAGTATGGATGTATGGATGTTTGTTACTCTTTCACGAAAAAACTACTGGACGGATTTGGATAAAACTTTACAGCAATATAGGTTATACATCAGAATAACACATAGGGTACTTTTTACTGGGAAAACTTCTCACTCCCACGGGATACCGACTTCCACGCGGACGAAGTCGCGGGCGTCCACTAGTAAACTTATAGTCAAGCTTTCATGGCGATCAGCGTTTTCATGTTAGGTACCTATATACATGGGGTGCGGGGTCGGAACACCTCCTCGTGCGCCTGTTACAATGGATGATCAGTTCCCATTGGGAGCGGATCCGCCATTGTTGCGGGCCGGTGTACCCCGGGCATAGGGAAGGATGAATTCAGCGTTAGCTGATTCATCGGTCCCTATGGCCAAGAGTCCGACACTGGGGGCTCGGCGGGCGTCTTGGACATATTCCAAGTAGCGGCCGCCGAGGGGGGGGAGTCCTTCGGGACAGGGGAGGGGGGGTCGTTGGGTTGGGGCTTCTGTGCCCTCCATCGTCTTGCGCGTAGGGGGGAGGCAAGGTCCACCCAGGACCACGTGTGGGGAGCCCAATTCGGGCTAAGAGGTTGTTCCGTGCCGGCGTCCTGACAGTAAGTCGGGTAGCGGCGGTGCGGATCGGAGGCTCGGCCGGCGTCCGGGACGTATTCCCGGTAGCGGCGGTCGAGGACGTCTTGAATCGTGAAGCATAGGGGGTGGTAGGCCTCTTGTGGGCCGCGACTTGGGGCGTCGTTGTTAGTAGTGGGCGGAGGGTCGGTGCGTCGGATGGGCGTGTGCGGTCTAACCCGCGCCTGTACGACGTACTGACATAAAAACGGCTCTACTGAGCCACCTCCGGCCACGCTCGTTATCCCGTACGTGGTGCGGGACCGAGGGCCGCTGCCTGCGGGCGGGGGCCAAGAGGAGACAACCTCACTAAAAAACCAAAAGAGGGGGAGATAGGAGGAGGAGTTGGGTGGCCTTACCCGCAAGAGGTCAAAAAATATGAAAATGTCGACGGAGAAAAATCAACTACCTCCGGAGGGTACCCGATGGCCGGGAGAATCCCTCCCTGTGACCAGTGATGGCGCAAGCGCGTCAACACTGGTCACAGGCTGCCCACGCTCGGAGGAGGGCAGAAGTCGATATCAGGAGAAGCTGGCTCCGAAAAATAACAGCCGAGATGAAGTTGTAGGAGAGGACGAGTCCAGTTGCGCATCATCACCCATTATCGCAACAGGACAGAAACGTCCGTTGAAGTGTGTGGATCTCGAGGGAGACCCGAAGAAGTCGCCGGAAGCGAAAATCGCGACACTAGTGAGTGGGAGAAGAAAGGGGCTGTGTAATCCGCGCCGATTGAATCCGGAAATAGAGGAACAATCGGACAGCTCCGAAGAAAGTGTCATTCGGCTAAGGTCCAAAGAGGGGGACGAGACAGAGACAGAAGGAAAGCGGGAGGAAAATATAGCAAGGAAGGACACACCGGAAAAGACAACTGAAAGGGAGGAAGAATTAGTGGTCGTGGACTCTGGCTCAGTGGTAGGGGATACCATGGAGGATACCTCGGACATGGAGCTTGAGGACGAAGGTGAAAGAGAAGGAAGGACTATTGTGGAAGGGACTGATCTAGACAAGATAGCTTTGGAGGAAGATAGGAAGAGAGGGGAACGATTCCTAGAAAAATGGGAGAAGGATAAAGATAATACCCTGAACATCATTGACGAGGACATACAGGATGTAGTCGCCCGCGTCATGATACTCAAGGGTATTACAGCAAGGGAGAAGAATGAAATAGCGGATACGATGAGGGAGATAGAGGAGGAGGCGAGGACGTTGAGTGAGATCACCAACACCAAAACCTTTGCTGACCTCGTTAAGGAGAACATCAATCTCAAGGAGGAAAATCGGGTGCTAAGAAAGGAAATGAAGGACCTGAAAGACGAGAAGGAACTGAGAGACAGGAGGATTAGAAGGATGCGGAGGGAGATGAACGACCTGCACACGGAAATGGAGAAGTTGAGAGGCCTTGTCAACTCTCTCCAAGACCGGATCGTTGAGTCTCCCGCCCCGGCGAGTCCTGGAAGTGAGATCTTTCTGAGATCCGTGATGGAGTCCGTTGGTACCATGGTCTCTGCCCGGATCGAGGGCTTGGAGGAAAGGCTGCTTCCCCCAGTCAACCACCGACCACCCCTCGCGACAGATAAGAGGGCCGCCCCGGTCGCGAGGAGACGAACGACAACGGACGAAATAGAGAGGGAGAGATCTTCGCTTGATCAGAGATCATGGTCGCAAGTAGTCAGTGGAGGGCGAAATAGCATGGCTACAGCGACCCCTGCGACCGTGACCGCGAGCAAGACAAAGAAAAAGGAGGAAAAGAAGGAGAAGGAAAAGAAGGATAAGAAGAAGAAGGACCCCCCTGTGCAAAACAACAACACAGGGAAGAAAAAGAGGGATAGAAAAAAGAGGAAAAGGAACAGAAAGATACGAGTGCCGCGAACAGCAGCGGTGTGTCTACAGATCTCCCCAGAGGCCACTGAAAGGGGGATCACGTACAAAGACGTGCTGGATAAGGCGAGACGCTGCATCCATCTTAAAGAGGACGTCGGCATCGAGGAAATGAGCAGAAGAGTTGCAGCAACTGGCGCCCGGATCTTTGAAATCCCTGGATCAGAGGGTGCTGCCAAAGCCGACAAGCTGGCTGGACTGCTGAGGGGGATCATGGGAGAGGACATCCTAGTTTCGAGACCCGTCAAATGCGTAGACATGCGCGCGACGGGCCTCGATGATGCCATAGATGCTGAAGACCTGCGGGCGGCTGCCGCGGAGAAAGGGGGTTGCTCTCCGGACAGCATTAAGATCGGCCCTATTAAAACCGGCTATGGAGGAGCTGGAGTAGCTCACCTTAGAGTGCCGGCGATGGCGGCTAGGAAATTAGTGACGGAGAATGGCAAGCTGGTTGTGGGATGGGGATGGGTTAAGATCCGTGTCCTCCCGCCCCTCCCATTGCGCTGCTTTAAGTGCATGGGAGTTGGCCACGTGAGGGCACAGTGTTCAGAGGAGGCGGACCGCACAGGAATTTGTTTCCGGTGCGGGGTGGCTGGCCATAAGGCCGCCAGTTGTGAGAAAGAGCAGCGTTGCGCCGTTTGCGCAGCGGCTGGACTCTCAGCCGGACACAGGATGGGCAGCAAGAGCTGTCATCCCCCAACCAGGAGAGGTAAGCCGGTCCCCAGTTCCCGGGTACCGCGTGCGGGACCGGGCAGCGTGCTGTCGGGCGAAATGGATACGCAATAGCGGGTCCACTAGTTCGGGGGTGCGTAGTCCGGAGCGGCACCACTACTCGCCTTCTCTCTACATGGGTTCTCCTTCTGAGAACTCAGGTGAGAGAGGGGGATGTGGTGCGAGTGGTACCGGGAAGCACCCCTCCTCACAGGAGGAGGGGGGGGACGTCCCCATCTCGCGCCGCGGCGGCGGCGTCGTCGGGGCCGGGGTTCTGTCCACCTAGTGGGCGGAGTACCGGGCCTGGGCGGCGCCGCCGCCGCGGCGCCGCGCCCTTGGCGCCGACCGGTCGTCCGTCGGGTATTCGTCCTAGGACGTATTCGACGGCCGGGCCGGCGGCGGCGGGGGCGCGGCAGGCCGCGGCGGGCACCAGTGTCCGTCGTGGCCGGCGATGGAGGGATGGAGTCGGCTGCGGCTCGGCGGGGCGCTCACCTCTTTGGCGTTTTATGAGTCGACGAGGGGAGGGGCCACGTCGACCAGCGGTCGACACCATGGCAGCGGGAATACTCTGATCTGTCGTCATGGGCGCCAGGGGACGTTGGCGCCGGGGCTGCCCGAGGAGTATAGCTCGAGGGGGAGGCCGAGGCGACCTATCAGAGTGTTCGTCAGACGATAAAGGAAGGTGAGATAGCCCAATTGCGCATCTCTTCTTCCTAACGGGGGGAGCGGGGGGGATGATTACCCCCTCGTTCGTTGCACACCCCAGTTGTCTGGGGAGGGTTCCTCGAAATTACCCAGGAAACCTCCTGGCCGCAAAGAGGGAGGACCGTTCAGTCGGTCCCCCATGGTCTGGGTAACCTGAGCTTCTCCTTGCCGGATACCAGGTCCCAGATTCTGTGAGGGTAATACGGGGGGTTTTGCACGGTAGGCCTGCTGTAGTTAGGGGTTCTTTAACCTCCGCAGCAGGAGAGCCCGGGTTCAGTCGGCCTCTAATCAAGGTCGATGGCATGTTAAGGTCAGTTCCCCTCGGTACAAAAAAAAAAAAAAAAAAAAAAAAAAAAAAAAAAAGGTACCTATATACATAGAGGTTTTCTTTCACTCGCATACATTGGCATTAGCGTAGCAATAACATGAGCATAGAAAAACCTCATTTGATTTTATAGTCTCATATTTGAGTGATATTAATGGCAAGAGATCCGATAGGTGTTCCACAGGGCTTAATCCTTGGTATTTTTTGCTTTTTTAATTTATATTGACTTGCCTTTTTTGGTAAAAGAACATGGAAGTGTTAATCACGAAATAGTTTTGTATGCACTTTTGACTGAAATTCTTCTAATGAAGGCAAAACTAAATGCATTAAATATGTATTGTCTAATGTTGTTTTATTTTTTGTTTCAAATATTGTTTGCCCGTGTCGTAGGTATATTAATCGTAGGTATAATTATTGGTGTGTACCTTATGTATAGTTATCGGCAATCGCATAATCCGGTATTCTATACGATATTTAGGTGATAATGAATAGAATACTAACGTGTAGGTATGAAGTATTATTTATTTTATATTTAATTCCGAATGCGCAGCCGGTAATGTACCTACCTAACTAAAAGACGAAAGCAAAGAAGAGGGGGACGTGTAGGCAGACAGGCAATAGATAAATAAACAATAGACTTTTGATCCATGAAGTCTATATATCACGTCAACTATTTTTGTCGGCCAGGTGATTTTTGTGGTCTGAAAAACGTAACTTAAATATATTTCTAACCTATTACGTGACCTACAGGTTGCTGGTATAAGATAATTTTGATAATATATTCTTAATTGCACGATACACAGGACATATTATAGAGAAGATAGAAAAGAGAGAGATTATAAAGGGCGGCCCTATTGCTACGTAACAATCTCTTCCAGGCAACGTAACCTCAATAAATTTCTAACCTATCACGTGTCATACAGGTGTAAGATAATTTACTCTTTTCAATTAAGAGCGATCTTTTCAATTAATAGCGATTAAATTGAAGAGCGGTCGGTCTCTATACAATCCCTAAGATTTGTATTCATTACCTAGGGCATGTATATAAGAGACAACATTATCCATAATATTGCATACATTCCCTGGACACCCCAGATATTCTATACATTGCTTTGGTGTTGTTTAGAAAGCCTGAATTATACGGATTGCCCGTAACATTTAAATGGCTTATCTATTTAATGCCGCCTATTAGTGTTGACAGTACTCTTGAAAATTTACTCTTGTTTGATCAGTCAGTGTAAGTTGATGTTTGTAAATTTTTTATAGACTCGATCGGCTAAAACCATTGTCATCGTTGAAAATTCATAGTGATAAAAACGCTTTGCTCTGATCGCCTCGATCGTCTTCCGTTTCTTTTGTAAAAGTCGCGTGGTGCGCGCGTTCCTCAATGTAAGCCGGCGAACGTATGGCTGGCAGAATAAAATAATAGTTTATAACTCGATAGCGGCGAGTGTGTACGCTCTTCGCCGAGAGGCGAAGTTTTAAAAGTTTTTGATTGTTTAGCAAAAAAATTGTTTTTAGCAACTTTTATTATTGTTATTAGTGATAGTGTTCAATTTAAATGTTTAGATAAGCAATAATTGGATTGACATTCGTAAATGGTAAAAACCTGCTACAAATATATGTAGAAGAAATATTTATTTAAGTAGTGAGTATTTTATCTATTTTTTATACAATCTGCTGTCAAATCAATAATGAAGTCCCATTCTTACAGGATCATTTTTATTAGTTTAATGTTTATTTTGCTATATGATAGATACTAGGAGATACTTTGGAAAAAATATGGATAAAGACCTATTACAAAAATACTGGGGTGTGAAAACTGAAAACTGTTTTTCGATTTAGTAAACCGAAAAAAAAAAGCTTTAAAGAGCTAATTTTCGTTAGAGTCAAGTGTCCCCCTTCTATCAAATAAACGGACGTTGGTAAAAATTCAAACGTTACGGCAGAAGTACACACTTAAGATGGCTTTGCAAGTTTATGAGTCGGTAATACAGCTAGTTGCACAAACGTCCATTAAAAATGACATTAGTTTAAAGCGACATTACTGATAAAAATTTGTCATTCATTAGAGCTCAAAAGCGTCATTAAATCTTAATGGACGTTGGTGCAACTGACCGATAGTTGATCAATTGTATTTAACTCGAAAATTTCGAACAACTCCATAGAACATATCTAATGTGATTTTTTAACTTTTTTAATGGATAATGGTCATTTTACTATAAAATAGGATTACTTTCACGAAGACACGCTTTGATAATTACTTATTTGATAAAGTGACATAGTTTCAACGTAAGTCCCGTACGATTTCTAATATTTTTTTAGCTATATACATTACTAGCTTTCCGCCAGCGGTTTCTCCCGTGTGGACTTTAAGGAACCGTTTAGTGGGATAAAAATCTTATAATGTTACTTCTGGTTTAGTACACCATACTTCATCCAAACCCGTTCTTTAACTCAAAAGCTTTTAAATAATAGTAGGATAAGATAGTAATAATTCGACACAATATAAAATAAATTTATATCTTTAAATTACCATCGATTTACAAATAGCCATGTTCGTGAGTTATGACGGACAAGAGTAGGTAGAGGGATGGAATATTGTGTGATCGGTAAAGTGGGTGCGGCATTTTAGGGCGCCTGACCTAATTGCCCAATTTGTAAAAACCTACAACTTCATTTCATGGAAGAATTATTCAGTATAATGTTGGTTTAGGATTACGATTTGAAATTGAAATTTTTATTTTGCGGCCTTATGTTGTTTATGATGTCAGCGATGATGGTGACGTCATTGCCATGATTCGAAGCACTGAACCGGTTCCGACGTCGACCTCCAATTATGTTAATGCTGGTTTCACTTCTATCCTACTCTCAAATGGATACATAAAGCAAGGTAATAACTTTTGCTACGAACTTCAACGTCGCAGCTTGTCTCTCTCTGTAGTTCTATAAATGGTTCAGGTTTTGCGCGGTCATTACTTTATATGTAGATAGATATCTAAGTAATATTATCACCAACTAATATATTTATTTGTAAGCATATTATTTACACAGCATATATGGACACAGCTCACTAGAATATAATAAGTCACTTAAAGTGTTTTCCGAGGAGCCCTAGCGTATCGCAAGACATTTTAAGCTCCATGATAATCAGTGTCATATTTCAGCAAATTTATTGAAGTTGAAATAAAATTTGTATGTTATTCATTGTTAACTAAATGTAGGATTAAATTAGTATTTTATTTTAGGGATCTATGTAAATATTTGGTTTCCAAAAGGGATCTATTATGCTACAAAAAGTTTGAAAACTAATGAAGTAATAGTTAATTACTTACAAAAAATTGGCTTAATTAATTGTTTTAATTTAGGCACGTCTCATTATACACAAGCTAGGCTATAAATTTACATGTTTATCTTATAACATCACATCACATTCAGGTCATGAAGATTTGCACAACATTTAATTAATTATAAAAAAAATAATGAAAACGTTGGATTCCATTTTTGTAAACTGAAAAAATTACATTTTTTAATACAAATAAACACAATTCAACCATTGACGAGGCGAGTCTATGATCTTACACTTGCCCAGCCCTAAGCAAATCCTCAGTCTCGTCATATCTCAGTCTAGAAAACCCTTCAATTGATGTTATTTACACGAATTTAAATTTAGGCTGTAAATTGTATACATCTAACTAATTATACAGATTAACAGATTGAACTCGAAATTGACGCTTAGCAAATGAAGTTTCACAAAAGTGTGCAGGTATACCGGACATAAGTCCGGTATACCGGACCGAAATAAGTTCTGTAAAATATCTCTGAGCCCTTACCGCTTCAAGAATTCTACATTTAGTAGCACCGCCCCAAACTGGTATGCAATAACTTATTACTGACTAAGTAATTTTAAAGTCAAACATTTGGTGGGTTCTTTTATTAATAGAAAAACAGATATAATTTATTTTTGTGATATTCGAAATAAAAAGGGAGGACTTCAACCAGCTAGCAACCGTAACTCATCCATCGTCTGCCATTTTAAATACAGATCTCCAGGAAGAACCATTTAATTGGTGGTATACATTACTTAGTATATGAGATTACCTCAAGGTTCAATTTTAGGACCCATTACTTATCCCTTTTTAAGGTTTAATGATCTCAGTTTACGAAGAACTCGTACGAGACAGTAGATAACACTTCTTAAGTATTTAATATAAGTGGGTAGGTGATGAATGTTATGACGATATAAATAGTGTTCTCTATAATGTTATTAGTTGCTTTGATAACAATAATTTGATAATTTGAATCTGAATACCGATAAAAGGAAATTAATGAACAATATACCTAATTATCATAACCTAACCACTGGTTAAGTAAAATAAATAAGAATATACTAAACAAAAAGAAAATTAAAAGCCTGATACAGATTGGGGAAGATGGCAATAAAAAATAATAAAAAAACCACTGGTTAAGAACCATTGATGTGTAGTCACATGTTTGGACCATACCATAAATATGAATATATTGCCTGTTATTCATAGACACTTTGAAATTCTTCAGGCAATTTTTCTCTTCGGATTTGCCGATAATTCGATGATTTTGTTATGAAGCCCGAAAGTCACAATGTTGGGCGGTCCAATCTATACGTGTATGTATCCCAGGTATTTTAATCGAGGTCTATTGCGTTGAATGTAATAGTGAGCAAAAACAGTTTTAAATGGCATCACGACTTCCGTACAAACGAGCGTTAGGTAATAAAACTTTTATTAAACGTTGACGTTGTGTCATGTTGAGGAAAGGAAGCGAAATTGAGTACAGTTTTACAAAAAATATCACTTTTTAATAGTAAAATAAACTTATTTTTATTTACATTTCTTTTTCTAAAAAGATGATTTTAAAATACCCATTCAACGACACCCCACTTGACATAGATTTTTATTTTTTAATTTAGACAATATGGCGTCTGGTTGTCGCTATAGTAAATTTTGAGTACTGTCATTTCTTTAGTGACACTCGCAAGGTTGACGTAGAATCATCAAAATCGGCCTATGCATTTGGTCTCTAGAACGCCACATAGAAACAAACATACATACATACATAGACTGAT